GAGCCCGTGCTGGAGGGCAAACTCTGAGGTTCCAATATTGGCCCTGCCACTTACTAGCAGTGTACTTAGCCTCTCTGTGCCTCTTTCTTCGTCTAAAAAAAACAAAAGCAATGGCCTGACCCTTAGGGTTACTGTGAAGAATAACTGTGTTCCTACAGGTGAAGTTCTCAGAGGGGTGCCTAGCACACACCAGCATCTAATGTCGATTGTGGGCCTCACCTCACACAGGTGAGGACCACAGAGGGGAGAGACATTACGTCAGGCTGCCCAGCCCAGCGGGGTGGACCAGCGATGACCAGGCGCCTGGAAAGACAGTGATGTAACAGCTGGCTCTGGGTCCTTGGGCAAGCCACCCACCCTCTCTGTGCACCCGTTTCCTCATCTGCAAAACGGAGGTGGAAGTAACAGTGCCTGTCCCACTGGGTCGTTGTGAAAAGTAAACGAGTTAAGAAATGGAAAACGCAGGACGAGCACCTGGTGTTATTATTGTTGTTGTTAAGACTGGGCGCATCAGAGGGTGGGAGAAAGGGCAGGGGAGGGGCTGGTGACCAGTGGATGGATAAGCTCTGAGTCTCACCCAACACTTTCTCTTTCTATATTCTTGTCATTGTTTTGTTTAACTTTTTAAAATTGTAAGACACAGCCTTGGCCGGTGTTGTTCAGTTGGTTGGGCGCCATCTCTTGCACCGAAAGGTTGCCAGTTCGATTCCTGGGCAGGGCACATGCCTGCGTTTCAGGCTCGATCCCCAGTAAGCAGGGTGCAGGAGGCAGCTGATTGGTGTTTCACTCTCACATCAATGTTTCTCCCTCTCCCTTCCTCTTTCTAAAAATCAATAAAAAATACCTTTTAAAAATTGTAAGATACAATTTGGCTCAGTGGATAGAGCGTCAGCCTGTGGACTGACGCTCAGTGGATAGAGCGTCAGCCTGTGGACTGAAGGGTCCCAAGTTCGATTTCAGTCAAGGGCATGTACCTTGGTTGAGGGCACATCCCCAGTGGGGGGGTGCAGGAGGCAACTGATTGATGTCTCTCTCTCATCGATGTTTCTGGCTCTCTATCCCTCTCCTTTCCTCTCTGTAAAAAATCAATAAAAAATATACTTAAGAAATTGTAAGATACACATAGCGTAATACTATTTTAATCACTTTTAAATGTACAGTTCGGTGGCTTTCGGTCACTTTTTCTCTCTAACTAATCCTAAGGTGAGACAGGTTTCAGGAATAGCTCCCCTGGCTCCCTCCCTCACCTGACATGCACACAGTGCTTCTTCCATTGAGCCATTAAGTCGAGACATCACACCCCTTTAACTCTTAAATGCTTCAGGGGGCGCTACGCTCACATCCAGGAGTTGGATGATGATGTGATGCTGTTATCGGATACACCTTCAGACACGTTTAGTTACTCTGATGGTCCCATTGATGTCCTCCATGCATTGCCTCTGGGCGTCACCTCCAAGTCCCCTTCTCTCCTCCGTTCTCTGAGGCGGGGAGGCAGGTCAGGAGTCCCAGCACCCAGGCCTCTGCCCGCGGAGACGGGTCGCCATCGCGCAGCACGCTCAGTGCCAGCTGCCCGCCCTGTGGCGAGCTGAGGGAGGGCACTTCTGGGTCTGGTTTCTAGGACTGACTTTACAATGAGTTTGTGTTTCCTTCTCTGAATACACAGAGTGGATGTAGGGACAGCAAAAATGAGCCACGAGAGCCCGTGGGGCGCAAGTGTGACCGGGCAGGGCCAGCGGGGGCGTGGAGGTGTGTGGGTGTGCGTGTGCGTGTGTGTGTGTGTGTGTGTGTGTGTGTGTGTGTTCAGTTCAGTCCTGGGGCTCCTGGAAGAAGGCGGCTGGACTTCGGGACCTGCCCCCACCCAAAGCCCGGCAGTGGGAGGTGGGTACGCCCTGGGACCCCCTGTATGCGGGGGCCTGGCAAAGCCTGGCTCTGCCGGGCTGCTGCTCCCAGGCCACATGGTGTTGGGCGTCCTGAGCTTCCAGAGTCTTAGGATCAGAGCTGGGTGAGCAGTGTCACCTCCGGCCCATAAATCCGCAGTTTTCCTCCTCCTCCTCCTCCTCCTCCTCCTCCTCCTCCTCCTCCTCCTCCTCCTCCTCCCCCTCCTCCTCCTCCTCCTCCCCTCCTCCTCCTCCTCCTCCAGACGTGACTGTACTTCCGCACTCGGTGCCCAGGCACTTCCCGGACTGTGGGCAGCCTAGCCTGTTCGGTGTTTTCACCTTGTGGGGGGAGGGCCGGTGACATAACCTCCACCGAGCACCGATCTCCTGGCTCAGGAATAGTATCCCACTTGGTTCTCAGAGCGGCCCTGAGAATTTGGTGAGTGAGGAGAATGGCTCTCGGAGATGTGTAGCGAAGGGATGTTGGGAGGCCTGGGTTCGCACCCTGGCCCTGGTAAGGGAGTTGAGGTGACATGGGTAAAGCGCTCAGGATGGTGCCGGCACACAGTAGGTGCAGAAGTGAGAGTTTAACATCTCCATCTCCACCCCGCCTCGCCACAGCTCATCGGACGTCGCCCTGCGGGCAAAATACAAAGCATGGGTTTTCTTCTTCTTGTGGTTAATCCTCACTCGAGAATGAGGATATTTTCCCATTGATTTTTCAGAGAGAGGGGAAGGGGGGGACAGAGAGAAAGAAACAGCGACATGAGAGCACATCGATTGGTTGCCTCCCACATGTGTCCTTACTTGCACCAGGGGTCCAGCCTGCAACCTCGGTATGGGCCCTTGACCGAAATCGAGCCTAGGACCCTTCAGCCTGCAGGCCAACACTCTAGCCACTGAACCAAACTGTCGAGGGCCAAAGTATGCATTTTGTGCTAGGTCCCCAAGTCTTTCTATTTTCCAGTGATGTTCGAAAGAGGAATCATAGCCTGGCCTTTGAAGGCCTGGTCTTCGTCTCTTCAAAATGGAAGTGTGCATATTTGAGGAGGCGATTAGACATCGGTGGGGTGTGTGTGTGTGTGTGTGTGTGTGTGCATGCATGCGAGTGTGCACAGACCGGCTGCCCCCGTCAGAATCACTGGGGTGGAGAGATGTTGAGAGCAGGTGTGTGGGGGCTGTGGGCATTAGTGGGGGCAGAAGGAGATGATGGCTTCAGGCCGTTCCAGCCACAGAATTTGTTAAGAATAAGAAGGTGTTGCTGAAACCGGTTTGGCTCAGGGATAGAGCGTCCGCCTGCGGACCGAAAGATCCCGGGTTCGATTCCGGTCAAGGGCACGTACGTTGGTTGCGGGCACATCCCCAGTGTGGGGGGTGCAAGCGGCAGCTGGTCGATGTTTCTCTCTCATTGACGTTTCTAACTCTCTATCCCTCTCTGGGTAAAATCAATCAATAAAATATATTAAAAAATAAAAAAAGAAAGAATAAGAAGGTGTTTGTTGCCCCCAAAAGACCAAAGAGTGATTAGGGGATGACCCTTCGTAACCCAGGACCTTGTAGCTATTTCTGAAACACCCTTCTTATATCGTCTGCCCAGAGGGCTAGCAGCATCAGCCCATGAGGGAGTAGCTGATGTGACTGGGATCTCCTGTTTAGAACACAGCGCAAGGGGTATTACTGTTAGAAACGGGGGAGAAGAGGGTCACAGCCTGACCAACACCAGGCCGGGGAAGGTTCTGGGTTGGAAGGATGGTTGGGAGGGAGTGGGTCGGTCTGTCGGTGGGTGTGAAAGGTGAGTGGGAAATAAAAGCTGGCGGGGAAGTGTGGGGCCAGGTTGTTGGGGACCCACAAAGCTGCCGTAAAATGCTCTCTGCTCTTCAAAGGACAGGTGTGAGGCTTGTTGACATATGGAAATGTGTGTTTGGAGAGAAAAATGGAATGCAAAACAGTATGTACAAACCCGCCAGCTGTGCAAACACATCGCCTGCGAAGCAGAGGGACGTGCGAAGGGCATCGCAGGGTGTCAGAGCTCCCGCGCGCCTCTCTCCCCTCATTTGCTTTCCTGTAGCTCACGATGAGAACTAGTGAGCAGCAGGCTGGGCCTTGGGGTTCCGCTTTGAACTTAGGGACATCCCCCGGATGCTCTGTTTTGCCTCCTTTTCATTGACATAATTCATACACAGTTGATTCTCATCATTTATGGGCTTCATATTTGGAAACTCACCTACCCACTAAAAGGTATTTGCTACACCAAAGTCAATGAGATGCTCCAGTCATGTGTAGAGAGAGAAGGGTAAAAACTTCAGCCCCCTGATGCACACATTCCCAGCCGAGGTGGAACAAGAGGACACTCTGCTTCTTGTTCAGGCCTTGTGTTGTTTTGTGCCCTGCTTTTTTGCATTTTTGTGCTTTTTGTGGGTGATCTCACTGTTTCCGATGGCCCCAGGCGCAGTGCTGAAATGCTAAAGCCCCTTAGGGCAGGAGGCTGAGATGTACCCGGGAGAGAAAATACGTGTGTGAGATCAGCTTCACTCAATCATGAGTTATAGTATCGGCCATGAGGTCAATGTCAGTGAGCCAACAGTGCATATTAAACAAGGTGTCTTTAAACAGAAATACACATAAAGCAAGGTTATGTATTTTTAAACATATATATGTATATATATTATTTCAGAGAGGAAGGGAGAGGGAGAGAGAGTTAGAAACATCAATGATGAGAGAGAATCATTGATCGTCCGCCTCCTGCATGCCCCCTACTGGAGATCGAGCCAGCAACCTGGGCATGTGCCCTTGATCGGAATCGAACCTAGGACCCTTCGGTCTGCAGGCCGAGGCTCTATCCACTGAGCCAAACCACCTAGAGCAAGATTATGTATTGATCCATTGATGAAAACTCTGTAGCCAAGGTTTGCAGGAACCTAACCTTGCATTTTCCTTGAGGCAGCTTTACAGACCACAATTGGTGTGAATAACAGAACTCTCTGTATCATAGCATTCCGCTTTTGGAATGAGCCCTGTATACGTTAGTGTACCCCTCACAGCAGTACGTGCGTGCCCTCACCCAGCCGTGGGTAAGGATGACCCCTCCGGCTCCCCGTTCCTGATCTCTCCGCTCTCTTTCAGAATGCCCAGGAGAACCATGGCCTGGCAGTGCCCACCCCCTCTGTCCCAGAAGACTTTACGGACAAGGAAGTGACAGGTAAGAGAACCCTGGGCTTGGGGTTCCGTCTTTCCTTCCTCTTTAGGCCCGGGTGTCTGGCCCACGTCCCCAGCTGCAGAGGGTGGGGGTTGAGGAGGCCAGGGCTGGGTAAGGTGTACTTCCAGAGGGGAGGGGATGGCCAGAACAGCAGGAAGGGCAGCTCAAAGTGGGAGCAAGAACCGTGGAGTCAGACAGACCTGGCTCCAAATGCCAGGACCCCTGCACATGCGCTTTGCTCCCTTGGGCAAATCACTTAACCCCTGACACCTGTCCCTCCCACGCACCCTGGGAAACAGTCCCAGCGCTGGCGGAGTAATGAAGTCCCGGATGGGATGTAAGTCCCTTGTTGCCATACCTCTTGCTCACAATCTCCAGCGACTTTCCAGGCCACTCAGAGGGAAGGTTCCCGCCGGGACTGGCAGAACCCGGCCTCGCCAGGTCTCCCGGCCTGCTCCCGGCTCCTCCTCCTCCACCACTCTCCTTGCCTCCCTCAGTGCCCAGGCACGTCTCCGCTCAGTCTTCACACTGCACGTCCTCTGCCCAGACTGTCCCCTCGGGACCTCCGGCAGCTCCCTCCCCCAGCCCCGCCCTCTGTGCTCGAATGGCACCTCCTCAGAGAGACCGTCTCTGATCACCTATTCAGACCGCACCTCCAGCACCCCTTCCCGGTGTCCCCCTCATGTTACCTCCTAATGTGGTCATAACTTACTAATGGTCTGTCTCATTGTCCCATTTAAACATAAGGCCCAGGAGGGCTAGGATTTTGACCAAGTTGTTTTGTTTGTTTGTTTCTTAATGTATTTTTATTGATTTCAGAGAGGAAGGGAGAGAGAGATAGAAACATCAATGGCGATAGAGAATCATTGATTGGCTGCCTCCTGCATGCCCCGGATTGGGGATTGAGCCCGAAAACCAAGCGTGTGCCCTGATCGGAAATTGATCTGTGACCTCCTGGTTCATACGTCGATGCTCCACCACTGAGGCACGCCAGCCAGACTTGACTAAGCTTTGTTTGTTTGTTTACTGCTGTATCTCAGCCCCTATCACTTGGGAGTTAGGATGTCAATGAATGTTAGTTTTCCCTTTCCTACTCTCTTCTGGGTATTTTGTTTTGTTTTGTTTTTTTGTTGTTGTTTTTTTGTGTGTGTGTTGTTTGTTTGAATGTATTTTTTTAATGTATTTTTATTGATTTTAGAGAGGAAGGGAGAGGAGGAGAGAGAGAGAGAGACATCAATGATGAGAATCATTGATCAGCTGCCTCCTGCATGCCCCCTACTGGAGAGTCAAGCCTGCAAACTGGGCACATGCCCTGATGGGAATCAAACTGTGACCTCCTGGTTCATAGGCCAATGCTCAACCACGGAGCGACACTGGCGGGGCCCGCCTCTGTTCTTTGTTCTGAAGTCAGATAGCTGGGGGAGCCCTTCAGAGCTGACATTCCCCAGGTTTGTGGTGCTCTGTGCTAGAAGCAAGGAGGAGGGGCTGTGGGGAAGGATGCCCCTAACAGAGAAGCAGCGTGGGATCCGGCTGTGCAGGCTTTAAGGAGCTGGGAGGGGTTTTAAGAACGGCAGGGTGTGAGCCGCTGGCCCAGGGCACTCTCTGGTGACAGATTGTCCTGGTCTCCTTCTCCTACACACCTCTATTGCACCCCACAGGCAGAGCATGTTCTAGAAGTTCTCTGTGAGGTGGACAGTGGGCTCTGCGCAGATTCAGGGTCTTTAGAAGGAGGAGTTGCTCATACGAATTGCTCCCTCTTAAACTTTCACCTAAACTTCCTCACTGAGGGGTCTCCAGGCCCTGCCCCTGATCCATGACTTCCTCTCTCTTACTTCCCCTGTCTGTCTGGCACAGCCTGAAACGGGAGCATGGGCGGTAGTAATCAAAGTGGTTACTATTCATTTGTAAATGCCTACAACAGGCACAGCACCGTGATAGGCCCTTTATATGGATTTACGTGAATTACCTTATTTAATCCTCACAACCGCTATGGTAAGAACTGATATTGTGCCATTTTAGAGAGAATAAAACTGAGGTTCAGCAAGGTTAATTAGTGTGTCCAAGGTCACACATCTGGTAAGTGGTAGGACTGGATCTGAACCCTGATCTTTCTGGTTTTATAAGAAATAGATGGTGGCCCTAACTGGTTTGGCTCAGTGGATAGAACATTGGCCTGCGGACTGAAGGGTCCCGGGTTCGATTCCAGTCAAGGGCATGTACTTTGGTTGCGGGCACATCCCCAGTAGGAGGTGTGCAGGAGGCAGCTGATCCATGTTTCTCTCCCATTGATGTTTCTGACCCTCTATCCCTCTCCCTTCCTCTCTGTAAAAATCAATAAAATATATATTTTTAAAAATAGATGGTGCCCTCAAAGTGGGTAACGGAAGAGAGCTCAGAAAAGGGGTGAGGTGCCAGAGAGTGAGCGGGGCGGGAAGGGCGGAATATGACTCCCTGGAGCTAACAGGGTACATGGCACAGTCCAGAGGCCGGGCCGGGACCGGCAGGCGTCCTGCCCTCCAGGGGACAGGGCCACTCCCAGGACAGCCCCGGGCTCACTGCCGCTCCCTCACTCGGTGCTCAGGAAGGAAGGCATGGCCCTGGCCAGTGACCCCTGGGGCGCCCACCACGTGCCCTGGGCACACAGAGATTGCCAGAGCCGGTCGGCCTCACGCCTCCTCTTCTCTGTCTCTCCCTCCTTCCAGGTGCCAGCTCACTAGCCAATGGCAACCTCCGACTGTACAGCTCTGTGGGCGACCTCAGGCCTGTGCACTATGGCGAGGACCCACCCATCCCCCCGCCTCCCCCCGGCCCCGCCCCAAGGCCACCTCCAGGACCTGCCCTGGACACTAAGCCACCTCCGGGGCAGTCCCTGCCGCCACCGCCGCCTCCCTTGCCACCTGCCCTGCTGGTGGAGCCCCCACCGCCACCCAGCATGGCCCCTCCCCCACCCCCAGTATCAGGGGCCCTGTCCACCCCCACCACACCCACCCCTCCCGATTTCATTCCCCCTGCCCCGCCCTTGGCCTTTGTAGCCCCACCCCCGCCCCCTATGCCGGCCCCAGCACCCCCAGCCCCAGTGTCTCCTCACACTCCGAGGACTCACCTCTCCCCCCCGGCGGGGGTCACCAAATGGAAATCAGAGGTCATGCTGAATGGCAAGCAGCCAGAGGCCCCCCGGACCAGCCCCCCCAGGAGCCCTGCTGAGCCAAAGGGGAGCCCCCTGGGGCCTAAGCCGGAGCCCCACCTCACCTTCCCCCGGTCATTCAAGGTGCCTCCCCCAACCCCGGTCAGGACCTCGTCCATCCCAGTGCAGGAGGCACACGGGGCTCCTGCAGAGGGAGAAGGGGCCGCCCCGAAGGCCCCCAGTCGAATGCCCCTGCCCCCCAGCTTCCACATCCGCCCCGCCTCCCAGGTCTACCCAGATAGGGCCCCCGAACCAGACCGCCCCGGGGAGCTTCGGACCGAGGCCCCTGCCAGCCCCGGGCTGAGCCAGCCCCAGGCCAGGACCAGTGGACACGCTGAGACCCCACCCCCAGCCTCTCCCCTGCCCCGCCCCACACCCCAGCTCCCTCCCCCGGCACCCCCGCTCCCTCCCCCGGCACCCCCGCTCCCCCCGCCGGCCCCTCCTTTGCCTTCTGCCGAGAAGTCAACCCCTCCACCTGCTAGGTTTATGAAAAGCCCCAAACCCAGCTCTCCTGCTCCCAAACCCAAACCCAACCCCCCCAGCCCGGAGGACACGGCCTCTGCAGAGCCCGTGGACTGGCGGGACCCCGCCCAGATGGCCAAGCTGCGGAGCGAGCTGGCGGCCTACCTCTTCGGCTCCAAGAGAGAGGACCGAGGCCCCGGCCACCGGCCCGGCCCGACCGCAGCCTCTCCGGCCAAGGAGGGCAGGAAGGGCCCCGGCCTGCCGGAGAAGGAGGCCCCCCCAGGGCACCCCGAGAAGAGTCCCTGCCCGGAGAGAGAGGCCCCCGCCAGCCTGCCCCTGCCCCCCGCCGACTACACCCCCCGGGACTCCCCGGCGCTCAGCGTCCAGCAGATCCGCAGCGAGCTGGAGGCGCGGCTGTCCGCGTCGGCCGAGAGGGAGCCCCAGCCCAGTGCGGGGTCTCTGCCTCCGAAGCCACGGTTGGAAGCGGGGAGAGTCTTTGAACACAGAGCTGCCAACGGCCAGATCGCCAAGCCCGTGGCCAAGAACGGGCTGCCCCGCCCCGCCGCCCCCGCCCAGCCAGCCGCCCCGCACCAGCCCACGGCCGCGCCGGGGCCGGCCACGCCACCCAAGGCCACACCTGATGCAGCCACGAGCGGGCCAGCCACGCCAGCCACAGCCACAGCCCTGCCCGCCACGCCATTCCCAGGGACAGAGAAGAAACCGGTCCCCGCTGAGCAGAGAAAGAAGCCAGAACCCCAAGAATCTGCAGCGCCTTCCCAGCCGGAGGCAGGAGAAGGGCGTCCCTCCGAGGCCAGGAAGCCTCCCTCACAGGGCGCCCTCTCCCCTCCGGCCCTCCCACCAAAGCTGTCCCCGGGGAGGGGAGAGGTGACCGGTCTCTACAAACCCCACCGCGGCCACAGCGGCAGCCAGAGCAGCCCCAGCCGCGAGGTGGCCGTGGTGATGCCCACCGTGGCCCGAGGAGGGGCTGTGGAGGTGGGGGAGCCCCGCGGGCTGCCAGACAAAGCCCCGGCCCCCGCCCCGCCTGCAGAGGAGCCCCTCAGGCACCCGGTGACCGGGGAGCTGGTGGAGAAGGGCTCCCCGATGGCCCTGCTCCTCGCGGCCAGGCAGAGGGCACAGAAGGGGCGAGCTCGAGGGGCCGGCCCGGGCCGCACCTCCCTGCCCGGGAGCCTCCGAGGGCAGCCCCAGGCGGGCTCCGACAGCATCTTCCTCCGGGGGCCCCAGCCCAACTCCTTCACCGTGGTCCCCAGGCCGCCCTCGGAGCCCGAGAGGGAGCCCCAGCCCCGCCCGTGGAGGACCCAGCCAGGCAGAGGCCTGGAGGACACGGAGCCTGGCCGAGGGCACGGCTGGACCAAGGCGGAGCCCCAGGCCTGGGACCGATCAGCATCCTCCCGCCTCCCCCAGGGCCGCCCGCCGCCCAGGTCCTTCTCGTCTCCGTCCTCCCCTTCCCGCCAGCGGGAGGAGGAGGGCGAGTTCAGCTTCGAGGTCATCCCGCCGCCGCCCGAGTTCAGCAACGACCCCGAGCCTCAGCCTCGAGCCCTCCCGCACCCGGGCCGCCGGGCCTCCCCGCCCCGGAGCCGGTTCCCGGACTCGGGGCGGCCCCTGGACGCGCGCTTCCCGGCGGCGGCGGGCGAGCCCTCCCCGGGGGCCGGGGGCCTGCAGCGCTTCTCGGGCGGCGGCCGCTCGCTCATCAAGAAGCGCCTGTACGTCGGGGAGCCCCCCCGCAGCCACGCGCCGTCCCGCGGCGGCTCGGGCCGCAGCCTGAGCTCCCCCAACTGCTTCGGGCCGCAGCCCGGAGGGCCCTTCGGGGCGCCCGGCGGCCCCGAGATGCGGCGCGTCAACTCGGCGGGCCGCGCGCCCCCTGGCGGCTTGCGCGCGCGGAGGATGTCGCTGGAGGGCTCAGCCCGCGGGGAGGCCAAGTTCAAGGCGGCCGGCCCGGCGGTGCCCAGCGCCGGCGACCTGGTTCTCGCTGCTGCTGCTGCGGGCAGGTGAGCTGGGTCCGGGACGATGGAGGTTGGTGGAGGACGATGGAAGTGATGGAGGGCGATGGAGGGTAATGGAGGGCGATAGAGGACGATGGAGGGAGCGCCAGGGGGCAGCCAGGTGAGGGGGAGGCCCCGTGACCAGGCCTTGGCCGGCCATCTGTCTGGGGCACATCTGATGTTCTACCCTCTGGCTTTCGGGGCCCAGAGAAAGGGGAGGGAGGCTCACTTTACCTGCAGAGGGCGCTCCCCTCACCTCCTTCCTCACCTCCCTTGATCTCCCCTGTTCTCTCTTTTCCCATCCTTCCCTCGCCCTCTTCCCCCTCTCTGCACCTCCTCCCCAGCCCGGTTTGTCCCAGAGCTTCGGCTAAGGGTGAGGTGCAGTCCCAGGGCTTCAGGCAGAGTGTGGGGTGGAGGGAGGTCGGAGAGGCCCTTGGGAGCCGATTTCCCCTCCACACAGAAGACCCGGAGCCAGGCTAGGAGCCACGGTTCTGAGGAGAAGGATTGGGTAGTGCTCTGTGGCCACCGGGGCCTGGCCTGGAGGGGGAGGCCTGGGTTGATCAAGCCCAGGGCTCGTGGGGCAGAAACCAGAGCGCTTAGCGGCATCTGGTCCTCTATGCCCTGGGGAAAGGGGGGGCTATTGGCTAACCAGCTGCAGAGACTCACCTCCTTTCTCCTGCTCCCCACCAGGTCTCCCCGCTATGGAAGCCCCGTCAACACGTTCACCGTGCGGCCGGGGACCCGCCATCCCATCTCCTACGCCTACTCAGGGGCCCATCGGAACGCCCTGTCCTGAGCCCGGGCCTGGCAGCTCTCCTCCTAGGGGTCGATCCGGGCGCTGGTTTCTGTGGGGGTGGGAGGGACGCGGTCAGACTCAGACACAGGAGCCTTTGTTCTCAGAAGACAGAGATGGACAAGACAGAGAGACGGACAGCCAGCAAGAAGCAGTGGGCTTCTATTTCCCAGGGAGCTGTGGACTGCCCGCGATGGGGGGAGGGGAGGAGGGAGGAGAGGAGGCGGCTCCCAGGGCCTGGAGCCTGGTCTGCTATCTGGTACTATCTGCCTTAAGTAGGCCCATTTAAAGCAGTTTTACAAGCATGGCCTACTGAGCAGGTTCTAAAAACAAGGGGCGGGGCATTACACCTGAGCGGGACCTGGGCCTGGGGTGGCTGTGATTGCCTGTCAGGCCCTCATGAAGGGCTTGGTGGGGGTGGGGTGGGTCCAGGGGACCACAGGCTGCTCTCTCCAGCCTCCATCCGTTGCCACCCCAAGAGCTGAGTCCTGGGGGCCATAGCATAGAAGGTGGGACTGGAATGTGCCTACATGGAGCTGGCACCAGGCAGTGCTTTACAGCGATCGGCCCAGGGCAGGGTCATGGGAACTGATGGTTTGTCTCTCTCTCTGGCCTGGCCGTTAGCTACAGGGAGTCCTACAGGAAGAAGCCTTGGCGAGTTCGGGTGGGAGACAGAGAATGAGGCTGGCTTTTCTACTTGGACCCAGGCAGCTGGGATTTGGAGATTGGACTCCAGGAGCCAGAAGGCCTGGGATCATCTCCACAGTCCTGCCAGGGGTTTGGAGGGGGCATCATTCCCAGCTCCTCCCAGCCCGGGTACTACGGGTCTTCACAGGTGTCGCCACGATGCTGTGAGGTCTTGGAGAGTGGGGGGTGGCAGAGGAAGGAGATGAGAGCTGAGAGATCGTTGCCAACACGCATGTTTCGGAAAGTCAGGAGTGGTGGGCTGGGCCAGTCCAGAGCAGGGGCCCAGCGGTAGGGTGGCCGTGCCTCCTTCCCCGGAGCAGTCCTGGCGTATGCCTGGTTTCCGGTGAATCAGACCCTTCTTTCCGCTCTCCCAGAAGTCCTGGTTCGGAAGCAGCGCTCCTCGGTCTGCCTTCCCTGCCTTCAGGGCTTGGGGGGCCGAATTCCTGGGACCGGCCGAGGCAGGCTGCCTGTGAGGTGCAGGGGCCCACCTCAGAGGGGCAAGCCTGGAGGGGGCAGCAAGGAAGCGGTTCCCTTTGGGGCAAGATGGTGGACCTCTGGTTTGTGGGGACCTGCCGAGGTGCCAGCTCTGGGGACAGCAGTGAGCCACTTCAGGGAGAGGGCAGGCACCCTAACGGGGCAGGCGCTTGTGTTCAAGAAGCGAACCCCACCCCAGCGCTGTCACTGGCTCTGAGTGTGTGTATGTATGTACGTATGTATGTATGTATTTCCCCTGTACATGTTTATAATGAGCCCCTAATTTATCTGCGGTGTTAAGGCTGGAGGGGTGGGGCGTGGGCTCCCAGCTTGCTCTGGGTGGGGGGGAAGGACAGGCTCTCACGTGGCCTGAGGAACACACAGGCCGGCTGGGCCTGGCCGCCAGCTTGGTGGCTGCAGATGGGGGACTCGGAGCTGCGGGGCGCGGGGAGAGGCTGGGGGAGCTCGGTGGGGAAGGCTGGCCTGACTGGGGGCCATCCCGCTGGACCCAAACCTTCTCTCTGACCCTTGGGTTCTCTTGTTCTACGGATCCCTCAGGGAGCGGAGCAGAGCTGAAGTCTGGCGGGAACCACCCGTGTCCTTCAGCCAGTCTCTGGCTCTCTGAGCCGTGCACCAGGCATGGCCATGATTCCTACCTCATAAGGCTGCTGTGAAGACCGAGACAGGCCTGAGTTCATGAGACAAGTACTTGCGTGGCCACCAGGGGGCGGGCCCTGTGCCTCGCGTGGGGGTACAGTGGTCAGTGCACTGACTCCTGCCCATGGCCAGGTTGTAGCCGAGTGGAGGGGAGAGGGATGGAGGGAGCAGGCACAGGAAGGTGAGAGTAACCGGAAGGCGAGGGAGCGGGTGGATTTAGTCTGACCCGGGAGTCGGAGGAGGCCTGGAAAGTGGCGACATTTATGCCAAGTTAGGCAGAGCCTCCAGCACCGGCCTGGCACATGGTAGCTGCTCAATAAACTGCATCTTTGGGTGATGACTGCTTCACGCGTGTGTGTGTGGCCTTTCCCTCTCCCAGGAAGCTCTGACACAGCATCTTCAGCTTTTCCAAAGTGGCAACAGAACCAGAGAATCCTCCGAGATGGTGTCAGGGAGGGTTGTCTCTCCTCCTCGGAGCCCTTTTCTGGGAAGCGGGGGGAGAGGAGGGTTATGGGAAACGGAAACTGGGAAGATGCCTCATTGACTCAGCTCCCAGGAAGCTTTTCCTAGGCCTGACCTCCCCCCTTACCCTCACCCAAATCATAAAGCTTCCTCCTCCTCCCATCCTGCTGTCCCCCACCCTCCACTGGGATGTCCTTATCCTGGTAACAGCGTGAGGACTCAGGGCTCCCCGTCTGTCTGCTCTCCCCTTCCTGAGCTCACGCTCTTCCTTCCCCTCACCTGCCTGGAGGGGCCGCAGGGAGGAGTGGAGGATGGGGGCCAGGGTCCCAGGGCTGGCTCTGCCTCGGACAAGCCGTGGGAGCTTGGGTGTCAGCTGGCTCACCTCAAAGGTGTCTGAGACCCTGTGTGGGGGCCCAGACCTCTCTAAGAGCTGTGGGCCCCTCCCAGAAAGATGCCTCGCATGCATTTTGCACATAATTCAGGCGCTCCACAGATCCTCCCCAAACGGCTCTGGGGGCAGCACGTGAGACTGATGTCACAGAGGCTGTGGTAGCCCCCAGGACCTACCTCGGCAGTTTGGAAAGCTGACACTCATTCTGGAGTTTGTTCATGCCCGTCCTCTAAAACGTGCTGGGCTTGTGTGCCTTCATTCCATGTTGCTGGTGAGAAAGAAGGCTCCAGGAGAGACGTGAACTGTGCAGAATAGCCCTCATGACCACCGCATCCTTCCCCACCAGCCCTCCCCCCACATTTTATAGCTTCCTATCAGAGTGGGGGTGAGGAGGATGCAGCTCAGAGGAGGAGGAGGAGGAGGAGGAGGAGGGTAATGAGGGTGGCAGGTGCAGGATGTGCAGCCTGAATCAGGTGGCCACGCCTTGGTTTCGGGGCCTCCTCACTGCCCTCTGGGTGTGGCCCGGCCTCGCCCAAAGCGGGGATGGGGGGTGGGTGTGGGGCAGGCTGTGCGGGAAGCCGGGGCCACAGTCAGCCTTGTGTGAAGGCTCTGTTCTCAGACAGGAGCACAGCTTCCCGGGCCCCCCTTACGTAGGCAGAGAGGCCTCCCCTCACTCGGGTGAGCTGAGCCTCAGCTCCGGTGGGAAGCTGGCGGCAGGCCTGCCCCTGCCTGCTCGCCCCGCCCCAGCCGCCTGTGGCCGCTTTCATCTCTGCAGCTCAGAGGCGGGGCTGGCGTCCATCATTAGGCAGCTGGCCGGGACGGGTGGCCACTGACACCGGCTGAGAGCCGGGCTGCCCCCTCGGAGCCCCGGGAAGGCCGGCTGCTGCAGACCCGCTGCTGGGCTCTGGCGGGGAAGGGAGAGAGTGCGGCCTGAGAAAGGGGCGGACACAGGCCGTGCATTCTGAAAGCTCCCGCAGGTACAGCTCCGCAGGGCCCCTGCCCGGGCTCTGAGCCAGACCCCCTGCCCCTCCTGGAGAATTGTTCTCTGATCCCCTCTGCCTTCCAGCCGGCTCCCCTCTCCACCCAGGGGTCTGGGCACCCGTCCTCGTCAACATCTTCCTTCTCTATGGTTTCTTCTGAAGACTGTTCCACCCAATCCTCACCTGCACCCCAGCTGCACATTCCGCCTTGGGAGTGCTCCCTGGACATCTCTCTGTGGGTGCCTGGCCAGCCCCTCAAACCCAGCCTCTCCCAAAGGCATTGCTCTCCCCCCTACCCCACCCCTCCGCACACCATGGTGAGGCCCCGCTCTCCCCAAAGACTTGTGCCCACACCACTTCTGCCCCCTCTGCCTCCTAAGGCCTCGCTCAGATCAGAGATCCCGCCCCCTCTCTCCCCCCATACACACACCTCCCCTCTTCCTGCCCTGCTCTGCTCAGAGACCCTCCTCCTCCACACCTCTGCACCACGCCCCTCTGCTCCACACCCCCTCCCCCCCGTCTTCAGGCTCAGACCTTCCTCCCCGCCTGGGCCACATCAGCTCCTGTCGAAGGCTCCCGCGGCCCCCTGTCCTTTCCCCTTGGGGTACTTGCTCCCCTCCTCCCTCCCCAGCCTGTGATTCCAGGGACTGCCTGTCTTACTCATCGCAGTAACCCCAGCATCCAGCCCAGCCCCTAGCACCAGGAGGTACTGAACGTGTGTTTGTTGAGTGAATACATGTTAGTATTTATTCAGATATTGTTGAGCACTATTTAAGTTCCTTCAGGGCAGGATCACGGCTGCCATGTGTCGCTCGTCCTGGGTCCCTGCGACCCTGCCTGCGCCTTGTGCGTGCCTGCGCGGCGGGACTCTGACCAGCAGGTGGCGCTCTGCTCACCTGACCTCCAGCTCGGCAGGTGGACTTGGGGTTCAAGTTCAGCTGAGCTTCCCGCCGCTCCTCCTACGGTCCAGACCGGAGCCAAAGGCTGTCCGGTACCCCAGTGATTCTCAACTCTGAGCCCTGGAGGGCTTGTCCAACACTTGGCCCAAAGCTCCTGAACCAGTGGGTTTCGGGTGGGCCCAAGAATTCAGGCTTTTGGCAAGTCCCCGGGGGGGGGGGGGGGGGGGGGGAGAGGAGGGACAGCCAGTCCTGGGACCAGAAGCTTCGAGAAGGGCTGCGTGCAGTGTCCCGTTTGGCCCCACCCTGCCCCACCCGCGCCGGTAGCAGCGCCGCTCCCAGCTTTCCCGGGGAGAAACGAAAGTTGGACGGGCCAGTGGCTGCCAAGGCCACAGGCTGGAGCGCGGCGAGGAGCCGGCTGCCCTGCCCTCTGCCTCGGGCCAGCGTGTCTGGAGGAGCGGAGACGGGGGTGAAAAGGGGGGCCCCGCCTCTCGCTCCGCCTGCCCCTCCCGGTTCCAGGGCGGCGGTAAGAAGACAGCGGGCGTGGACAGGGACCTGGGGCAGGGTGTGCGGGCGCTGGGACAGGGGCCGGGCCCTGGGGGCTGGGAGGCTTGTCTGCAGGTCTCCAAAGCATGCCCGCTGCTGCTCACCCGGCCTCAGGCCGGCCCACAGCTTCCTGCTGCGGATGCGCGGCCACACCGCCTCCCGCTCCGGGACCCGGGACCAAAGCTCCAGCGGGAGAGGCGGCAGCCGGCTGCTCCCAGCCGGGCCCCCTCTGGACGGTCCTCTCGAGCCTCCCGCCCGAGGCCACGCTCCTGGGGCAGCCTCTTCTCTGACAGGTCTCAGCAGGACCCGGAGGGGTCGCCGTAGCTCCGGGGCTGCATGGCCTCCGCTGCCAGTGCAGGCAGCCAGCCCCGCGGTTCTCCCCGCCCCTCCCGTTCTTGGGCTTCCCTCCCCCTCGATGTGCAACCTGACCGCGTCCCCATGTGTCCCGCACCCAGACCCTCCGTCTCCGGGGAGTCCGTCCTGCAGCAGCTGCCGTGCCCCGGCCCTTGCTGAGCGCTCACCGTGTCATTTCCCTGTGAGGCTGCCTCAGCCCAGCCCGGGCAGGGCTCTGTCCTCCTGTCTATGGAGGAGCAGGAGGGGCGGAGCGGCTGGCTGCATCTCTCGCCCAGGGCCGCAGAGCTGGCAGTGTCAGAGCCAGGACTCCCAGCAGGCTCTGGAGCTCTGAAGCATGCCTCACTCATTATACAGCACTCTTCCAGAACATTCCTGTGGTCCAGCCTCAGGGGGGATTAAACAAAGGAAGCAGCTTAAGATCTATTCCGATTCAGGGAAGGAAGCTGCTCTGCTGCCCGCAGTCTTTCCCATCAGCCTCTCACAGAGCCTGCACACGGAGCCCTGCTGCTCACGGTCAGGTCAGTGGTTCTGACCTGGAGGATTGTGGCTCTTCGGTGGACTTTCGGCAATGACGGCAGGCTTCCGGTTATCAGGCCTGGGGGGATCCTAAGAGTGTTTAGGAGGTGGAAATCAGGGATGCTGCAAAGTGTCCTGCAGTGTACTGGGCCGCCACACACACAAATCCAGCCCAAATGGCAGCTCAGATGCCCTGAAAGCTAGGTTACGCCTGGTCTCCCACAGAGCAGGTGGCCACCTGGGACACTGTTGGCTCGCACTGTCCCAGTGCAGTGACCACTGAAGTAGGCTTTGGTGATGATGATCAGAGATACTTGAGCAACAGAACTGGATAGAGCGTCGACCTGCAGACTGAAAGGTCCCAGGTTTGATTCCGATCAAGGGCATGTTCCTTGGTTGCCCTTGGAACCAAGTAGAAGGTGTGTAGGAGGCGGCTGATTGATGTTTCTCTCTCATCGATGTTTCTAACTCTATCTCTCTCCCTTCCTCTCTGTAAAAAATCAATAAAATATATTTTTTAAAAGTTAAGATAAATCTTACATTTATTTATTTATTTATTTATTTTTAAAGAGAGAGATACTTGAGCATGGGGGTGGGGAGAGGGCAAACCTCCAACTTCACAAACCTTGAAGAACGAGTATTATCCCATTTAACAGGTGACGGGACTGGAGCACCAAGAAGTCACTTGGGTTGTGAGAAGAGAGAAACCTGGCCAGGGCCCTGGAGACTCCCTCTTTCCCTCTTTCCTAACCTCTGCAGCCCCACAGGCCCAAGGAAAGAAAGACCACAAGGCCACAGACCCCACACGATCCACCCGCCCTCATCCCTGACCTTAATTCTGCCACTCTGCCCCTTACTACTCCGTGCTGGTCACATGGACGCCCAACACGCTAGCCCACTCCTGCTTCAGGGCCTTGGCACATGCCGTACCTGCACCACTGGGTACTGATCTCAATCCAAGGGTTACTCTGGGGAAGCCAGGCCTTCCTGACTACTCCGTAAAAGGGCAATACCCTTCCTCCTCCCCATCGCATGAGCTTGCTTTACTTTTTTCCTTCTTATCAGCACCTGATGTACAATATACTTACTGGCCCTTTTCTTTCTGATTCATTTAATGTCTATTTTCCACTGGCCCTCCTTTAAACAAATTTTTTTTATTAAATAGTGTATTTGTTTTTTTATTTGTTTTTAGAGAGAAGGGAATGGAGAGGGAAAGAGAGAAACATTGATGTAAGAGAGAAACATAAATTGGCTGTCTCCCACCCATTCCCTACCACCAGGGCATGTCCTTGACCTGGAAGCAAACCAGCAACCTCCTGGTGCACAGGACAACAGACGTCCAAACAGCTGAGCCCCCTGGGCCAGGGCTGGTCCTGCTTCTTAATTATATGTTTTAAATTATTGCTTTTGCTATAAGCTGCCTCTATTTATTGTGGAATCAAAAGAAACATAAAAAAAGAACTAGCTGCCAAGACCGGTTTGGCTCAATGGATAGAGCGTTTGCTTGGGGACTGAAAGGTCCCGGGTTCGATTCTGTCATGGGAGCACTGTGTGCGGGAAGTACCCTCCATTCTCTCAGTAGAGAAGCAGTGATAGATGAGAACAAGGCTCAAGGGAACACCCGCGGCCATAAACACAGAGGAGGAAGCTCCACATGGACCAACGTGGATGAGCCCCTGGAGACACTAAATGGGGAAAGCAAATGCATAACAGGCCTGCAGCATGTGTCGTCTGTCTCTGTGGGTGTGCAGAGGTCTCCAGAAGACACCTCGGAAACTGGTATCCCAGGTGTATCGCAGCCTGCAGGTTGGAAGGGGCCTTGGTCCCCGTGGGTCTCTCCATCCAAGATTGAGCATACCTGCGCCCTCTGGCGGCAGGGCCCCCGCACTGCAAGGGAGAGGGCAGGGCTGGGAGCCCAGCTGTTCTCCATTTAGTAGATTGAGGTCCTCACACAGATCCCTAACCTCTACGTTCTGTTTCCTCTCTGTGAAGCAGTAGAAGTGCCGGTGCTGTTAACAAATGAGGTGATACTCGTGTGAGTGGGATAAAGGAACCAGCTCACCAGGTCCCGGTGAGGATTAACACTATGTGAAGCGCTCAGCACAGGGCCTGGCATGCAGCAACGCTCAGGGAATGATTTTGTATCCAGTACATCTTGGACATCGAGCAAAGCAGACCACTTGGTTTCTCATCTGAACCTTGACCCTGACAGGATCAAACGCACACTCCTCGGGCCCATCGTCAACCTGCGCGCCCACGCTCGGCCTGTGCTCCGCCTGCTGTGGTCTTCTGTCTGGAACGTGCCTCCCTCCCTTGCCTGTCTTGCTCAGCCTCCATGGCCAGCTCAAATGTCACCAGCTCCGGGCTCCTCCGGATGCCCCTCGCTCTGTGATGGCACAGCACCGGGTGCCCTTCTGTGGGGCATCATCACACCAATCGTGATTAAGCCCCCGATTCCAGCCGATACACACACTCACTTCTTACAAAGGTTAACGCGACACTGAGGTGGGAACGGGCTCTGAGGTCACAGCGCACGCCGATGGTCTGGTGAGGAGAACGGGGCGGCATCTGTCCACACTCAGTAGCACACGCACAGCGCTCCTTCCACCGGCTGGGGACTGGGTACGCAAGCGATGGGAGACCAGACAATGGGACACTGTGCAGCAGAGAAACAGAACCGAGAAGTTTTATTATTGACATGGAACCATCGCCCAAAGTTACACTGGAAAGTGGGGGAAATACAGTGTATACAGTGCCTACCATTGGGTAAAAAGGGGAAAACGTATATACAAGCATTTGCAGTTGATGCATAGGCTATTTCAAGAAGAATACAAAAAACATACTGATGCCAGCACAGCGGGAGCCTCTGGGGCGAGAACTGGGAGTCTGGGAAACAGGAGGAGGGAGATGCAATCACACCCCCTCTTCTCTTTTAAACATTATACTGTGGACATATCTATTCAGAATAAAATAACTTTTCAGTAAAGAAGGAAAAGGAAAGCCCGCCATAAGATGGAGGCGATGAGTAAGCCACCGCTCCGAGAGGGAAAGACCTTGAATTTGTTTCCAGGAGTGAGAGTGTCCTCAGGGCAGCTGCCCCCACTGGCACCCGGGCACTGTCACTGGACGTTCAGAGAATTAAGAACGGGTTTCAGTGTGAGCCTGAGTAAAACAGAAGGATAAACTCATTATCAGTGGTCGAAGAAAATTCATAGGTGAGTGCATAGCCAAGTCCAAAAGAAACAAGAGGTAGAATTTGGCTCTTTCTTATTTATTTTTAGTTCATCCTCACCCGAGGATATTTTTCCATTGATTTTTAGAGAGAGAGAGTGGGAGGGAGAGGGAGAGACAGAGAGAAACATCAATGTGAGAGAGACACATTGATTGGTTGCCTCCCACACGAACCCCGACCAGGGCCAGGGAACCTGCAACCAAGGTACATGCCCTTGACCAGAATCGAACCCGGGACCCTTCCGTCCGCAGGCTGACAGCCACTGAACCAAACTGGCTAGGACAGGAGTTTGCTCTTTCATGATGACAAACCCTGATGGCCTTGGGTCATTCCTCTTGTACCCACAAAAAAGAGAGCTTCTCAGTGCCTCAGGGTCTGGCTCTTCTGGTTAAAAGCTGCTCATCGGAACTCACCTGGGTAAACAGCTGGAGCAGGGCCCCTCCAACCCTGGCCCCCAGGGGCCTTGCTGGGAAGACCCCCCAGCTCAGATGACCCCTGTCCCAGGGAAATCCATGCTCTGAAACCTCACTGCCCAGCCAGGTAAGGTCTGAGGGGACCTCGGCCAGCTTTAGGGAGAAGGCTGGTTACAGTGGGAAGCAAACTAGTCTCCAGGGGAAGGCATCACAGCAGGCCCCGGAGCCTCGGAGCTCTGTGGGGCAGGCGGGGCCTAGGGAAGGCGGGCACCTCAGTCCTCTCAGGCTGGTCACCTGCCTCCTGTCTTCCCGGCCATCTCGGCACTCCCCATCCCTTACTCACTTCTTCCAGAACGTCTTTTGCTAACCCCACCCTGTTTGGATCTCAGCACAGGCTTCTGCCCGCCAGTCCTCCAGTTCAACCCTCTGTTGACAGCTGTGGGACAGGCTCCTGTGTTTATCTGTCTCCCTGACTACAAGGCCACGCCCCACGGAAGTGTTTATCACATACTGTTTTCTTGCTTAGTTCGGAGCTCAGTCTGTAGGGAGCAGTCACTACTTGGCTCGCTTGGGGCCAGGACTACCTTCTCCCTAGTTCTGGGGTGGCTGGCTGTCCCCCCAGTTTAATCATGCTTGCTCAATGCCAAATTATGTGAAACTACCTGAAGAGAAATAGTCTTCCATGCCCCCTCCAGCCAGGACACTACCCAACAGCCAAAATGATTTTCTTTTCCCCTCACCCGAGAAATGCTTTTATTGATTTTTAAAGAGAGAGAGAGAAACATCAGCCAGTTGCTTCCCATACTCGCCCCGACTGGGAATCAAACCCACAACCTTTTGCTGTACCTAATGATACTCCAACAGAGCCACCTGGCCAGGGCCAGAATGACCTTTTGGCAAACTAAGTAACTCCTGCCAATTGGCTGCTGCCCACTTCGCTCTGAATAACACCCAGTCGCCTTGCTCAGGCCCAAGAGGCTCTGCATGATGTGCCCCTGCTCCTGACTGGCCCCTCTCCACCTCTCTCCAGGCACTCGCCCCTCACTGCTCCATTTTCTTTCAGGACCCCAACGCAGCACCTGCCATCACATATCTGTTATTTGAAACTGTCTCCCACTGGACCATAAAGTCAGAGAGTTGGTGACTTTATTACAACATCTGGCTCAGCACCTGCACAAAGCAGCTCAGTGCATGTTTGCTGAATGCATGAATGAGGAAGGGAAGGATCGCTGTAATCTGAGAAGGACATGGAGGCTGGGAGGAGGCCACGGTTAGGGGAAAGGCACAGAGGAAGGCACAGGTGCAGCAGAGAAGAGAGCACCCCTCAAGGCAAAAGGCCCATCTCTTTCCTTAGCACTTTTCTGCCATCCGAGAGGCTCTGGGTTCGTTTTCTTTGTACGTCTTCCCACGGGAATGAGCCCCCTGGGGGCAAGGGCCATGTCCCGTCTAGTTCTCTGTGGTATCCTTAGCGCCTAGCGCAGCACCTGGCATGCACAGGAGGCACTAGATCCGTGTTTGTTGAACAAATGAAAGAAATGTGAGTTATCCAGGAGAAACAATGAATTGGCAGAGGATCTTGAGAGCCAGGTTGGGCGGTCTGGACTTGGAACGAAGAGCAATGGGGAGAACTGCAGGCAAGCCCAGCTGCAGAAAGGGAGATGACAAAGCCGGCGGGCAGGCTGGGCCTGGCGGGGGACACAGGCCGCAGCATCAGACCAGCAGGGAGAGGTGGCAGAGCGTGGTGCAGATGAGGAATGAAGCCTCCAAGAGCAGTAGCCAGGGCCACTGCAACTGGCCTGTTTCCAGCTTCCGGCTGCTGTGGGAAAGCTGGGAGCGGAGGTGGTTTGGGGGAAGCATGAATCAAATCCACTCTGACCATGTTGCACTGACAATATAACCAGCTGGTTCAGGGGACAGCAAGTGACAGACAGATGGATACTGAGGACTCCCGAGGGGAGTGGGTGGGGAGAACAGCTGAAAGTGGAGGAGCCGAGGAGCCATTGCCTTGGATAGCAGAGGATGTCTGGGACCAAACACAGCTGGGCAGATTGGGGAAGACAAGCCAGCAAAGAAAAGGGAGGCCAAGAGGCAGAATAACGAAGAAAGGAGGGCAATGTCAAGGAAGCCCAAAGAACAACTTCATAGGAGGAAGTGGCAGCCAACAGCCCAGGCCAGCGGCTAGCGTCGGTTGGACTCCAAAGGCCCCATCCTCAAGGCGCGCTGAATGCCGGGCGTCTGGGTTCCGCGGTAGAGAAGGGCTTGCTCCTGGCCCACCTGGCATTCCTGGGTGGGCAGATGTCCTAATCCTTATTTGTGACAAGGATTGCTAGTTGTCCTCCAAATCCATTCTTTCCTTGTTTCCGTGGTGACAAGGCTCTCAGTTTTTACCTGGATACAGAACCGCCGTAAATCCCACATTTCCTTGCCTTGCAGCCTGATGGGGCCATGGGGTCTTCAGGTCTCCTCTGTGTACACCTCCCTCTCCCTCTTGCACGTTGGGATGTGGACCCAGAAGATGGACATAAACATTACCAAGGTGATGGAGGAAGCAGAGGCAGAGGCCACCATCAGGCCACCAAGTCAGCCTGGACCACCTGCTCAGACTTCCATAGAAAGCATACGTTCCTGTCTTAAGTCACTATATTTTGAGGTCTTTTTTTCAGAACAGCCTAACTCATATATAGGAACCCACCACTTAATCCAGTAGAAATGCCTCAGATCAGATCAAAAGTTGTTCCAGCCCAACTCTGCCAGGTCCCAAGGTAAGAGAGAGCACTGGCTTTTCCCTTGACAAGATCCTCACTCTATGCACACTCAGGGGGCTGATTCAGTAAGCATCAATGCCCCACTGAAGCAAGTCTTGCCTCATAGGGTGACTCCAGCACAGTTCTCCCATCACAGATACAGCTGATCCTCCCAGCCAAATGGCCTGGAGGTCAATTCATCCCAGTGATACCAACATCAAGGCTTAACTACAATAAGACTGTGCACACAGCCCACAAAGGGGTGTACCAAGAGTGTCCATCTCAGGTAACTGGGGAGGCTGAGCCACTGGGCCCTATAGGACACTTAGCACACAAAGCCACTCTATCAACACAAGAAAGCAGCCAAGATGCGGAGACAGGTCACAAATTAAAGAAATTGAGGATATAGAGTTCAAAACCACGGTTATAAGGTTTTTCAAGAAGTTTCTAGAAACTGCTGATAAATTTACTGAGACTCTTGAGGATATGAAAAAGGACGAATCAGAAATTAAGCATACACTGACTGAAATAAAGAATAATATACAGAGATCCAACGGCAGACTAGAGGATCCCAAGAATAAAGTCAAAGATGCAAAAAATACCCAACTGGAAAAGAGAAAAAAGAATCCAAAAATATGAAGATAGTGTAAGGAGCCTCTGGGACAACTTCAAGCGTACCAACATATGAATTATGGGGGTGCCAGAAGAAGAGAGAGAGCAAGACATTGAAAACCTATTTGAAGAAATCATGACTTACAAGCCCAGGGAGTGCAGAGAATCTCAAACAAAAGGAATCCAAAGAGGACCACACCAAGGCACATCATATTTAATATGCCAAGAGCAAAAGACAGAGAAAATATTAAAAACAGCAAGAGAAAAACAGTTACCTACAAGGGAGTACCCATACGATTGCCAGCTGATTTCTCAACAGAAACTATGCAGGCCAGATGGGAGTGGCAAGAAATATTCAAAGTGATGAATAGCAAGAACCTACAACCAAGATTACTCTACCCAGCAAAGCTATCATTCAGAATTGAAGGTCAGATAAAGAGCTTCACAGATAAGAAAAAGCTAAAGGAGTTCATCACTGCCAAACCAGTATTATATGAAACGCTGAAAGGTATTCTTTAAGAAGAGGAAAAAGAAAAAGGTAAAGATAAAAATTACGAACAACAAATACTTATCAAGTGAATCTAAAAATCAAGTGAATAAAAAAACTGATGAACAGAATAAACTGGTGAATATAATAGAATCAGGGGCATGGTAAGGAAGTGGACTGACAATCCTTAGGGGGAAAGGGGTATGGAAGGTGCGGAAAGAGACTGGACAAAAATCATACACCTATGGATGAGGACAGTTGGGGCGGGGGGTAAGGGTATGGGGTGGGGTGGGAACTAGGTGGAGGGGAGCTATGCGGGGGAAAAAGGAGGAACAACTGTAATAATCTGAACAATAACGATTTATTTAAAAAAATAATAAATTAAACATGCAGTTACCATAGGCCCCAGTAACTGCACTCTTGGGCATTTATCTCAGAGAAATGAAAACTTATGTTCACACAAAGCCTGTACACAAACGTTCATAGCCACTTTATTCATAATAGCTCGAAACTGTAACAGCCCAGATGACTCAATGTGTGACAAGTTAAACGGATCGTGGGACATCCATACCATGGAATACTACTCAGCAATGAAAAGGAGCTTCTGACATACACAGCAACCTGGAAGGCTCCCACTCCTATGGAGTGAGAAAAGCCAACCCCGCCTGGGTAGGCATGGCTCTGCGGCTGAGCATCAGCCTATGAACCAGGAGGCCACAGATCAATTCCCGATGAGGGCACATGTCCGATCCCAGTGGGGGCTGCATGCGGGAGGCAGACGGTCAATGGTTCTCTCATCATTGATGTTTCTCCTTCTCTCCTTCCTTGCCTAAATTAATAAAAATAAATAAAAAACGAATAAAAAAGCCAACCTCAAAAGATTACAAACTTTATTATTCCATTTATATAACATTTAGAAAATAAAATTATAGAGGTGGAGAAAAGAGCAGTGGCTTGCCAGGCATTAGGGCGGGGAAGGAGATGGGTGTGATTCTAAAGAGAGAGCCTAAGGAAGCCTTGTGGTGATGGACATGTGTACCTTCACTGTGGGGGTGGATGCCTGAATCTACACGACAAACTGCATAGAACCACACACAGAGAGGAAATGGTAAAATTTGAACAAATTCTATGGGTTGTACCAATGTCGATTTCCTGGTTTTGATATTGCATTTATATAAGATTCTACTGCTGGGGGAATTGGGTGAAGGGTGCATATGGCCTCCCTGAAAATTTTCCCCCAGCATCCTGTGATTCTTATAATTATTTCAAATATTTTAAAAAGCCTATCAGAGATGCATATGGACATATTTACACTTTAAATGATATAGGTCTTGGATGAGTTTTAAAAAATACTCTAGGCAGAAAAAAATAAAGAAAAAAAGTGGGAGAAATAGATAAAACTGAATAGAAAAAAATGGTGTTAAAGCTGAATGAAGAATTAAACAGAGAAAATATATAAACTTTCCTAATTTTGGGTTTGAAATTTTCCAAAATAAAGTTTTAGACAGTTCCCAGCGGTACCTAGTCAACAGAAGGGCTGAGCCCCACCTATCTGTTTACAGCCTTACTCAGTGCTGTGACTTTTGAAGACAAATGAAGTTCAAAGCTTATAAAATTGTTTCATTACGAAGGTTTCCTCATGACCTTTTAGTAAGACCTCACAAATTATACTCTTCATCTGGGTGTGTCTACTACTGATTCCCTTCAAGAATTCCCCCCAAATTATGAAAAATAGAAGTTTATAAGTATACATCAAGAATATGCACACGCAGTGTCTCAGTCTGTCCAGCCATCTCCCAGTGTCGTATCCAGAACAGAATCACAGCAGCACAGCCTCTGACAGCCCCGCAGCAGAAATGGCGACTCCTTTCCAAATCCGGCCTTCTCCCTTTGGCGCTAGTTTTGGATGGTACGAGAGGAACTGCACGAATACTGACTGGGACGACTGCTCCCAAGAGCCGTGAAGACAGCAAGCTGGGAGGTTCCTCCTGCCTCAGCCACGATGCACACTCAGAACTTGAGTCAAAATCAACAGGCCAAGAATCGCCAACAGCCGGATCACAAACTGTTTTCACTGGCAGAGCTTCAGTTTACCACAAACCTGAAAAACTCTTATTTGGCCCCGAGCTGGAGGCCACTTCTCACTGGGATCCCCCCTTCAGTTACTCACAAGCAGCTCTCTCCCTCTGGGGGATGGGACAGGGAGCCCTAGAGAATAGTGAGGCCGGATGGGTGTGGAGCCTGCTGTCAAGTCACCAAGTTTTTGAATTGGACTCATGGAAGGTTAAGAGATGACCGTGGGCCTGCCCAGTGTGGCTCAGTCGGTTGAGAGTTGACCCATGCACCAAGAGGTCACTGGTTCGATACCAGGTCAGGGTACATGCTTGGGTTTCAGGCTCAGTTCCCCGGTAGGGGGCATATAGGAGGCAGCCAATTAATGTCTCTCATCAATGTTTCGATATCTACCTCTTCCTTCCTCTAAAAAAAGAAAATCAACTAAAAAATTTTTTTAATAAAAAAAATTAAAAAAAGAAAAGAGAGAGAGAGAGAGAAAACACGAACGAACTGTGGAAGCCAAGTATAAGAAAAATTCAATACAATTCCAAAGACTCCTCATTGCTACTGTGTAAACTTCCAGGCTTACTGCATTTTTCTTCCTTAGACTTGGGTTTTCAAATCTCTTCTTTCAGAGACCAGCCAAAGGGTATCAGCTTGTCCAGCATCTTCCTTAAACACTTGTTTTGATCTGTAGGTTCAGGCAGGATGAAATCTCTCCCCAGGATGCAAAGCGGCTGAACAGACTCAGACCTTCTGGGAGAGCTCCGTGGCCTGGCCCACTGGCTTCCACGCACGGCGCCCTTCTGTGCCGGCTTCCAGCAGACGCCCCGGGCTCCCGGCTCCCAGCAAACAGGCCATCCAGCCCTCAAGTTCTCCCCCGTTCCCCCCCAATCCCTTTCCTGCTCTTTAAGGTCGGATTCCTCCAGCAAGTCACAGCAGAATAGATCCTGCAGAGGCTCTTGTCAGAGAAAGCTCTTTTCCTGGACGGGGCAGGACTCAGTGGCCCAAAGCACACATTCCACAGAGGGACGATAAATACCAATCCCCCAGAGAGGGCGCTGCCTTGAAGGAAGAGTTCACCAAATGCGATGAGAGAGCTGGTGTGCTGTGATGCACCACCCTCCTCCACGTGACATGCCTGCTCACCCCTCCCGACTCCTGCCGGCCCAGGTCAAGGAGTGCCATGTGGGAAGGCAAAGTCACCTTCCGTCATCTCAGCAGGGCACTCGGCGCCCAGGTGAGAAGAGAAATAAGAATGAGGTTCCCACCAAGGCAAAGCAAGTGATAAACTGATGCTACACATTGTCTGTGAGTCAATAAGAGGGACCGGGATAGCCTGAAACAGAAACGAGGTGAACAGTCCTTCTGGAGTAAGCAGAGAAGGCACAGCCCCTTCTTTCTGCTGCCTTCCCTGGTCTCTCAGGTCAAAGGAATGAGGTCCTGTGATAATGAATGAGGTCCTGTGATAATGAATGAGGTCCTGTGATAATGAATGACGTCACCAGCTGCTCCTATGCCCCAGTCCAGCCTGGTTAATTAAGAAAGCCTCGTTATTGCCACCACATCATAGCTTCCTCAACCCAAACATCCAGTGAAAATGGGAAATATTAACACAGAATCTGCTATTAAAAGCATTCCCAGTCACAGCTTCGGCTGGCGCACGGGAGGCCACTCTTTCTGCTTCCCTCGAGTGGCTTTCACTCCCCAGGAGCGTGGTGTCCGCATCTCTGTACAAGGCAGGCTTCCTCCTCAGCTCACGAGAGGGACCTAGAAAGAAGAGGAATCCATGGAGCCTGCCTGGTGGGGGCCCCACCTGCTCTCCTTCCAGGAGGCAACAGCTCCAGGGCTGTGCGGGTTAGTCCCGGGCTGCAGGGAGCTCAACCTCTGTGCAACAAGAGGCACATGTGGCAGACGAGGAAGGAGAAGAAAAGGGATGATACTTCCTCTCGCTCGAGTAGCTTACCCCAACGTGCAGACCCACTGGTGGTGCAGACCCACCGGTGGCCTCTTTTCTGCCCCGAAGCAGAGGAGACCTCGGTTGGCCAGAGGGCCTCTCTGCACCCAGCTCCCAACTCACTTCTTCCTGCGGATCTTGGGCTTCTTCACGGGGCGCAGGTAGGGGTTATCGATGAGGCTCTCCTCCCCGCTCCGGCTCCCGGACAAGGAGTTCTGCTGCAGGACAGAGGTGTTCTCCTTCTCGGCTCCAGAGTCATCCTTTGAGCAAAAGCCGAAATAAAGCAAAACACCAGCGGCGTAAGGAAAGAGATCGCAGCGCCCCCTTCTGGGGGAGGCTGGAAGCTCAGGGACCGCTTCTCTCTAAGGGGCCTCAGATGGAAGGAGGCCCAGGCCGCACTGGCATTCAGAGGAAGGTGAGCCCAACAGCTCCCACAGTGGAGCACAGGACACAAAGCCCTGAGCTCCTGACAAGACAGGGCACGAGTTAGAAAGAATAGCGATCTGGGAGGGGCAGGGGGTCTGGGGCTAAAATGCAGGTGCTCAAGAAGGAAGCCCCACTTGTGGGGAGATGAAGAAAAAGGGCAGCAAGTTTCCATCCACCCTTTGCAGGACTGAGACGGGGTGAGAACAATCACATGCAGAGGCCTCTCCTGAGCCAAAGCTGATGTAAAGCATCAGAGATGCCCTCCGCCCCCAAAATTCTCGAATTATCTGGTACTTGCAACACAGTACCAGTGATCACATCACGGCAGAGCCTCGAGGGTTCCCACCAAGGCAAGTGGAGCATCTGGCACCAAGGCAGGAACACCATCCATACCCCCATCTGCCATACCCGCCCTGGGGGTCAGGCCTTTCAGGTTTGGTTTTTGAAGACAGTGATTTTGCTGAAAAGTTCATAAATTTATATATATTCAATATGACCCCAAATACAAATTTTTTTTAAATCACCATCATGTGTAAACAGAAAAAAAGTAGTATGTTGAAATTTAAAAAACTGGTTCTGAGAATATGGGTGATTGATTCTCCTTTCCTTATTTATACTCTAAGTTCTGTAAAATGAGCCCTGCAGAGGAAGGAGGACAAAATCACAGGAAGAACTTGACCTAGAGGTTCATTCCTAAGAGACTGAGTGACCAGAGGGGTTGGTGGGACTGCGCCCCCTGGAGACAGGCCAAGGTTCTGTCACTGAGATTCCTGTTCTGTGGAGACTCTGACCTCAACCAGAGCAGAGGACGCGAAATGAACCGCGAAATGAAGGGCAGGCTCTCCCGCAGAGGCAGAGACCGCTGGCCCAGCGGGCAGGCAACAGTCAGCTCCGTGAACCGGAAGAGATGGGTCGCTTCTGGTTCCGCTGCACATGCTCACACAGTCCGTCTACTGTGTCCTCCCAGAGGCCCTGTGCGTCGCCATGCAGGAACCCTGCGCTTTCCTCTCCAACACCTGACTGTGAGGTGACTTAGAGCCACAGTGGAGCTTCCGGAGGCTCTTCTGAAAGCGAGAGCCCAAGATCAGCCTCGCTCAGGCCAGGCACAGGTCTGACCACCGCCAGACCGCCTGGGACGTTTGGCTCCTAAGCTTTCCAAAGTTCTTCATGGCTTAATTTAGCAACCACCCGCTTCCCACCTCGTATCATTTCTCCATGGTCAACACCTCAGCTTAGAGTTACTGGAAGTTCACTTCGGCTGTGCCTTACGTGTTTCCTGAACTAAGGATGGAGGTGACAAGGGTGCCGAAAACCAGCCTTGACCTGCTGGAGGCACTGAGGCTGCCTCCGCCGGCTCACTGTCTCACAGGCCAGGATGTGGTCCCAGCCGCGGACACGGCCTCTCTTCTCCCAAGCAGAGCTTCTGGCAATGCCACTCCCTCGCCTCCCTCAGGGACAGGCAGCCTTGAGGTGGGCAGGGACAGGAGCAGGTGAAAGAGTAAAGTAGCATTCCAACCAAGATTTTGTAAAAACTGGGCGCAGAAGGGTCTTTTAAGAGCGTCTGGAGCCTGGAGTTCATTGCGTGCTACCGAGCCCACCCTGGGGACTGGCCCCAGCCCAGCTTCAGTGCCCTGCCCACACCTGCCTGCCGACCCCAGGTTCACACGGCCCCGGCCACTCAACATCTCCACTGGGGTATGCGGTAGGCACCTCCAACTTCATGTGCCTAACACTGAGCCCCGGACCTTCCCCTGGGCGTAAACAGCCCTCTGTGTCCATCCTGCGAGGACCCACCACTGGCTCTGGCCTAGACTCCTCTCTCAAATGCTTCCTAACTGATCTCCCTCCACAGCCCACGCTCTGCTGGCCCCAGCTACAGTCCCTTCTCCTCACCGCAGTCAGCGATCCTGGAAAAAGGTAACTCAGACCCATCCCTCCCCTGCACCATGCCTCCCACCACTCCCATTTCACCCGGCTGAAACCCAGTCTTAAAGCTGCTTACAAAGGGCCTGGTGTGCCTCTCCCTCTCTCCTTCCGCAGCCACACCCTCACTCACCTCCGTGCTGCTCCTCCGGGCCTCTGCACAGGCTGCTCCCTTCCAGAACATTCTTCCACAGAAGCCCTGGCTCCCTCCCTCCCTCGCCTCCTCCAAGTCTCTGCTCAAATGTCAGTTCTCAGGGATGTCTATCCTGGGCACTCTGAGCCTGAAGCCTCCACCCTTCGCCCTAGACCTTCCCTCCCCATCCCCAGTAGCACTTTAATAAATTATGTAACGATGTGCTTTTATAGTCCAGTCACTGCACAGAACTTTGTTGCTAGAATCCTTCTCTCAAAGTCTTCTCACTTACTTTTTACAGGACAGCATGTGGTTGTACAGCCAGAACAGCAGGGAGGGGCAATGGGGGCGGCAGCTGTCCTGGGCCAGGCACCCCACCCCATATGCTCTCTCTCCACATCCCTTCCTGCTCTCCTCCCTGTTCGTGCCACTCTGGCCACCCTGGCCGCCCTGATGGCCATTTGTTCTTCAACACAACAGCTCCCACCTCAGGGCCTTTGCACCTGCTGTTGCCCTGTGAGGAACGCTCTACTCCCAGATGTGTAAGCTTTGTTCCCTTCAGGTCTTTACTCACATACCACCTTCTAAGACATCCTAAAACCACATTACCCCTGTGCCCATAGCTACTTTCCCATCTCTTAATTTATTTCTTCATACCTTAGCTCCATGAGGGTAGGACATTTTGTCGGTTTTGTCTTCTCCTAATTCCCCAGCACCTGGAGCTGTGCCTGGCTCTGGCAGGCACTCATTCAATATTTACTGAATGAATGAATGAATGAATGAAGCCCCAGACAGGACTAGCCTCTCAACCTAGAGATCCCATCACACTCGGATCGTCATGAGCCCATCTTGCAAGTCCCTAACATGAAGGCAGAGACCTGGGTCGGTCATGTCCAGGTCTCAGCGTGACAGGCTGCGGGCAGTGTGGGCTAGTTGGGGGGCTACCCTGAAGCAGGCAGAAGGCAGGACCCACCGTGCTGATATGAAGAGGGAGGTTCTCTGTGTCTGTCTGCTCTTCCTGCTCCGAGGAATCCGTCTCTTCCATTTGCTGCATCTCCAGTTCAGACGGAAGAAGAGCTGTCAGGTAGGGGATGGTGAAGGGTCTGGCAGCAATCACTGTGGGATGGGGAGAGCACAGCTCCAGTCATGGTGTCCTTGCAGCTGGCTCAGGGCCTCACAGCGAGCAGCGCCCAATGACAATAATGGCTGTCACTCTCTAACCACTCACCATGTCCTACAGGCTTCACAGGGGTTTTCTTAACCCACTGTAATGGCTTAGTACTATCGCCAACCCCGTCTTACAGAGAAGGCGCCCGAGACGCTGAGAGGTTAAGTGACAGGGTGGGATCTGAATCTGAGCAGCGTTAACTTCAGAGCCCACTTTCCCCAAGTGCTGGAGGGCTAAAATCAGACAGGGGCTGCATCCTAGTGAATACATCCTAGTGAAGCATCAGCTTCGTGGTCTGACACCTGGTTAACCCCTCTAAGCCTCGTTTCTAGAGCAGAGATTTTGAGCCCATCAGTCTGAAGGAGTCAAGTTCAAATATGGATTTGGGAGCTCCCTGCGTGGACTGAGCTAGAGGGCTTCAAGCACTTCCAAACAGCACTGAGGATGAGAAGAGAGCGCGATGAGATAAACAAACCACAGAAGGTCTCTGTGTCCGGTAGAATGTGATTATCAGGTGAGCCTCGCTTGAAAGTCACTAGCTACGTGACCTTGGGCAAATTACTTCTTTTCTCCCCCTGATAAGCCTGGGCTTCCTGTAACTGTGGGGATAACAGCTCCTACCTCATGGGCTCCTGAGAGGACTTAATGAGGTGATTTAATGGTCCGCAGACCACTGGTGGTCCGAGAGGTCCGAAAGGTTGGCGACTGCTGATTAGGGGAAATGCCTGGCACCTCACCTGGCACCTGATAACTTAGCTGCTATGACTGCAGGGCCAGGCACACGGCGAGCACTTGCTGAACGAATGGTCACCCTCGTTCACCTTTGGAACGCCTGAGGCCTATGGAGGTGAAGCGGCGTGGTCACACGGCGAAATGGTAGCGCTGAGGTGGGAAATTAAGTGAGACGGTGCCTGTGTGAGGACACGGTGAAGCGCAAAGCCCGGCAGGTGTTCTGTGACTGCCCGGATCCCCTGAGGCCACCGCCCCTTCGGCAACCAGGGCTGCCACTTCTGCTGCATGAGGTCTCTGAGGCCCGGGGCTCAGTTACTCCTGAGGTAACCTAAGCTCAACGTACCTCAAGCAGCCAATCCCAACGGAGGCCATTACTGCTCTGAGGCATCAGTTAGGGACAGGCCCCGAAGAACTGGGAAAAGGAGCCAGAGATCTGAGGAAACAGAGGCACCCAAGACAAGGACAAAGCTTGTTTGCTCCTTCCTACCATGCTGACAGTAAGGGAAGGTGCCATTATCTCAGATGACGAGACAGGGTCCGCAGAGGGCTAGCTCTTACGTGGAAACGTGCTGACGTCGTCTTTGAACAGACTCTGGGTCTCGCCCGTCTTGGCCATAAAGCGGGTGAGCGCCCGCTCCACGTCACGTCTTTGGGATGCAGCCTTCTCCCGCAGGACCTGGTAGTCAGACACAGGCTCGCGGTACGTCTGCAGAGAACAGCAAATACACTACAGAGTAATACCAACGGGTCATCCTGTCCTCCCTGAGGCCCAGCTTTGCTGTTTCCATAGCCTTCCACCTTTCACTTATTTTTATTTTTTTAATATATTTTTATTGATTTTAGAGAGGGAGAGAGAGAGAAACATCAATGATGAGAGAGAATCATAGGTCGGCTGCCTCCTGCACGCCTCCTACTGGGGATTGAGCCCACAACCCAGGCATGTGCCCTTGACTGGAATTGAACCTGGGACCCTTCAATCTTCAGGCTGATGCTCTATTCACTGAGCAAAACCAGCTAGGGCCAAAGCATTTTAAATTGCGATGGTAGCCGGGACTGGTTTGGCTCAGTGGATAGAGCGTCGGCCTGCAGACTGAAAGGTCCCGGGTTCGATTCCGGTCAAGGGCATGTACCTTGGTTGCGGGCACATCCCCGGTGGGGGGTGTGCAAGAGGCAGCTGGTCGGTGTTTCTCTCTCATCGACGTTTCTAACTCTCTGTCCCTCTCAATTCCTCTCTGTGTAAAATCAATAAAATATATTTAAAATAAATAAATAAATAAATAAATAAATAAATTGCGATGGTATAGGTGACATTGTAACAATGACCAAAAAAAACAATTAACTACTCTTTCTGGTATGGAGATGGGATTTTTGAAGGAGGTGCTTAAAAACATTTCCACTGTTGTCAATGTCAATTCGAGTGTACAGCCTGCATACAGTTCCCATATTCACACTTAAACACAGAAACAAGACTCTCTGACATGTTTAAAATCATCCCCAAAATGAAGAATTTGACTGGATTTTGAACATACTTGGTACAAACATTAAAAATGCAAGACCTTCCCATCATTTTTAAGAGAACTCTTTGAGCCTGGCTGGTGTGACTCAGTGATGGGCATCAACCTATGGCTCTAGAAGTCATGGTTTGATCCCCAGTTGTGGACTTGATCCCCAGTGAGGACATGCAGGAGGCAACCGATCAACGATTCTCTCTCATCATTGATGTTTCTATCTCTCTCTCCCTCTCCCTTCCTCTCTGAAATCAATAAAAATATATTTAAAAGAGAGAGAGCGCGCGCGAGAGAGAGCACTGTTTGAGATTTAAAAAGTTGGAAATTGAATAGAAAATGTTAAACAAAATTCTTTAAATAATTAGATGATGCAAGCTCATTTTATGATTGAAGCAAATTCATTTTGTGATTTATTAAGTGGAGCCAACAATGCTACATATCTTTGTAATGTACCTTTTTCAACTATGTGAGCTGTTAAAGTATTACAATAAGCTGATCTCTAACTTATTATTCCACCATGTATTACACCAAGAGTTCAAAACCTAAAAGGCAGGGCCATCACATGGCTGCCACTGAAAAGGAGCAAACAAGTTTCCTGAGCCTTTAATAAGGGTCAGATTATCTTTAATGCCATTATGTTGGTGGAGTAGTCTATAATAATAAAAGCATAATATACAAATCGACTGAATGACTGAACAGCAGAACGACCGTCCGGGTGACCACACTATGACACGCACTGGCGCCAAGCCAGCCAAGGCGGGTGCCATGCAATTGGTCAGGAGGCCTTGCCATCGCCCCAGGATCGTCCCACAGAGGGAGACCCAGGCCAGCCAAGTGATCAAACCCCACGCCTGTCGCCTACAGAGGGAGGTGACTGGTGTGGTGGTGGTGGGGAGCCAGCCCATAAATGGCAAACAGTGGCAGTGGCGAGGGTGGGGCCAGCTGCCAGCAGCAGGGGGAAGAGGAGCCCCAATAGGCCCTGATCGCCGGCCAGGCCTAAGGACCCTGCCCGCAGGGTCCTGGATTGTGAGAGGGCGCAGCCTGGGCTGAGGGGGACACCCCCGACATGCACAAATTTCTTGCTCTGGGCCTCTAGTACATTACAATACTCATGTAAGTCAGCATGAATATTTATTGGAGTATCCTATCTAACAGAGGGAATAAGCAAATTGACCATCATGCTATCACAAAGGTGGCAGCGCCCAGTCCCCTCAGCTTCACTGGAAGTCCCCCAGTCCTTTCACAGAAAATGGGTTTCTTCAAAAGTTGGTTAAGCTTCTTAGGACAAAAAGCATTCAAAATCTTTGAAAAGGGAATTCCACTATTTATAAAAGTTTGGACTAGGCAATTCAAGGTTATTTCCACTACAACCTTCTATGATTTTGTGATATTAACATTCTGAATTCACATAGTACCAGCAGTACTTTATTTAAAGGAATAGCCATTATTATTAAAACAACTCATAAAACCACAATGTTTGTATGTCAAGAACATTCTGTGTGATTTTCCTAATGGCTGAAGTTAACACCCCTAAACTGGCAGTCGGACATCCCCCAAGGGGCCCCAGACTGGAGAGGGTGCAGGCTGGGCTGAGGAGCAACAGGCACCTCTCATGCATGAATTTCGTGCACAAGGCCTCTAGTGTACTTAGTATTTTTACTAACAGAAATACACTATAAAAGAGTTAGAGACTGTGATGGGTTGAATATATGTCCCAAGTATATGGCCATACCACTCTGAGATTGGGCCCAATCTCTTCTGAATTGTGTTCCCTAAAAAAAATATGTATGGGAAAGGGGGGATGAGGACAAATATGTGATACCTTAATCAATAAAGAAGTTAAAAAAAAATGTTGAAGTTCTAACCCTCAGTGTCTCAGCGTATAATCTCATTTGGAAATAGGGTCATTGCAGAGGTGATGAGTTAAAAAGCGGTCACACAAGAGCAGAGTTGGGCTGAAACCGGTTTGGCTCAATGGATAGAGCGTCGGCTTGGGGACTGAAAGGTCCCGGGTTCAATTCCGGTCAAGGGCATGTACCTTGGTTGCGGGGACATCCCCAGTGGGGGTGTGCAAGAGGCAGCTGATCGATGACTCTCATCGATGTTTCTAACTCTCTCTCTCCCTTCCTCTCTGTACAAAATCAATAAAATATATTAAAAAAAAAAAAAAAAAAGAGCAGAGGGGACTCTGTTTCAAAACAACTAATGCCCTTGCAAGAAAAAGGCCACGTGAAGACAGAGACACAGACGTAACAGAGGACTGCAGTCCTGCTTCCCCCAGCCAAGAGTGCCCACAAACCACCGGAAGCTAGGAGAGGCAAGGAAGGATTCTCCTACCAGTCTCAGAGAGAGCATGGCCCTGGCAACATCTTGAGCTCAACCACGTGCCCTCCAGAACTGTAAGGCAATACGTGCCTGTTGTTCTAAGCCGCCTAGTATATGGCATTTTGTTGTGGCAGCTCTAGGACACTAATGCAGAGATTACAGGTCATGGCCAGCGGCTATATTGCCATGGTGACTGACTACCTATTCCTTCCCCCAGGATCCCGGAGTGTGGAGAAATGCCTGGAGGACGGGCCCCACCCGCCCGCATGATGCCATATTTGCACCAGCACGGAGGCAGAGACAAAGGAAGTGTGTGTGTGGGAGAGCCTCTGGGACTGCTCTGCACGCCACACCCTTCCCAAAGGAGGGCGAAACCACTAATGAGGCGAAGGAGAACACAGCTAAGCCATGGAGGACAACTCGATCTGCGCTCATCAGACCCAGAACTCAGAGTACGCTAAGTTTCATTCCATGTTATTACCAAGTATGCTTTAAATAATCTTTTCCCCCTGGTTTCAAAAATAACACTTTTCTATAAAAAGTTTGGAAAACTCAGAACTAAGCACACACAAAGCAACAAGTGTTAGCCACGACCCACTGAGAATTACTATGAATATTTTCTGAGTGCCCTTCCAGTCTCTTCTCTAGCGTTTTGGCAGGACAGGCTTCAATTTCTTGTTAACTATATTTTTGTTAGCCAACGGGAGAACATAATTCTTCTTTGCCAAATTGTTTATAAGAAAAGACATTCTGAGTTCTGAGCCCACCTTTTATCAATAAGCTTTTGATCCAACAATCAGTAGAAATTGAGTATTTCGCCTCAGTCATAGCCCCCGTCATACCCTCACACTCACCGGAGTTTTGATGTAGGTGTGCGGGTCGGGGAACTCAGGAAAATGGCTGGGGATGTGCGGCGGGTGGGGTCGATTCTGCCCTGCAGTGAGAGCCTTGGGAGTCACCGGCTGATTGGTCACTGGAGCTGCAACAGAGTCACAACTGGTTCCTCTTCCACCCCAGGACTTGGGTCTCTGCCCAAACCCTCCTTTTCTCAAAGTAAATGCTGGGTCTCAATTTTCGGAACAATGGATACTTTGCATTTCTATTTTACCAAGGCCTTTGAGGACTTAAGGAACTCAGGTCACCCCGACAGGCCCAGCCCTGAATGACCCTGGCTGACATTCCCATCCACAGCAATCTGCCTGCAAGCCTCTTAGGAAGGTGAGTGCTTTGCTGGGACAATGTTCACATCACAAAAGAGCACACGGAGGCTGCTGAGTGACCAAGGGGTTAGATGAGCTGTTAACTCTCTTTTCAAAGAACCCAGATAACAGTCATACAGCACGCCAGGGTAAGTAGGCATGGATTGAAAATGGCACCTTCACTGCTACTTGAGAGGGAAGAAGGTCTTCACAAGATGTCAGCCAGAAAAAAGTGGTGAGAAAAAATCAAGTAAAGTCTCCCCAGGTCCTACCAGCCCACACTAGTTACTCCCAGCTCAGTTTATGGCAACCAGTTTCTATCCAAGGCACAGGTCGTCAAACTGTGCCTTCGACAGAAACAAAGAGACAGAGTAAATATTTTAGGTTTTGCAAGCCATACAGTCTGTCACAACTGCTCGACTCAGCCATTATAGCACAAGGCAATCAAAGGTAAGTATACATGGCTGTGTTCCAATAAAACTTTATTTACAAAAACAGGTGGTGGGCCACATTAGGCTTACAGACCTTAGTTTACTGACTCTTGATCTAAGGAAGAATTAGAACACTAGCATTTCTCAAGCAGCATCAACTGCCCTTCTAGGGCTAAAGCACAAGAATCATGGCAACATCTCAGAGATGGTTTTCCTTTCTAGTGACTGAACGCCATATCCTGGTCCCACTAGCCCAAACAAAGACGATGTCACAGGTAGCCCCAAATGATGGAAGGGAGCCTGCAATAAAGAAGTAGCTGAACAAACAGATCCCTGCCCTGTTTAATTAATTCATTGCACAAGCATTAACTGAGCACGTGCTGAGGACCTCAGTTCAAAGTCACTTACGGGCAGTAATGACCATCCTCTGAGACCGCTTTGCATAAGCAGGGAGAGTGTCCACGTTGAAACCTAAGAAACAGGAGAACAAAAGTCACTGCCCAGACCACCAGATACTGAACTTGGGAGAGGCACCTTGTGCTGAAATATAATAGTTTCAACTCCTCACTCAAGCATTTTGCTGCCACTGAGAAGCTCCAGCAGATCCCCACCAGGGAGTTAGGTCTCTTAAATGGGTTAGAGGAACCCTCGGGAATTAAAAAAAAACAAAACACTCAGTAGATGTGGCTCACTCCTCTCTCTCCCGTAACTCCAACTCAGCTGCACCAAAGAGCTGGGTTTAAACTGTGCACTCACCCATCTCGACAAGAGTGACCACAATGTCTGACAGCGTGGGCTGGGTCCTGGCTGTGTGCTCACAGTAAGACTTGGCACTCCTCCCAATTTCTGAAATGTCTGGGAAAGAATCAAAAGCATAAAGTCTTATTCTCAGTTCCCTAAAAGGTAAGCAAAGGATTGACACATGAACCAGCAACTCGACTCCTTGGTATATTCCCAAGCAAATTGTAAGCAGGAACATAAATAGATACTTGTACACTAATGTCCATAGCAGCATTATTCACGGTAGCCGTAAGGTGGGAACAACCCAAGTGTCATCAAAAGATGAATGGATGAACAAAATGTGGTCGGTCCATACAAGACAATGTTATTTAGCCATAAGAAAGGAATGAAATAGTCCTGGCTGGTGTGGCTCCGTTGGTTGAGTGTTGTCTTGTGACCGAAAGGTCACCAGTTTGATTCCCAGTCAGGGCACATGTCTGTTTCATAACAGAGGTGGCCGATATCTATCTCTCTCTCTCTCTTCCTCCTTCCTTCCCTTCCTCCCTCCAATCAATAAAAACTTATTTAAATAAACAAATTTAAAAAGAAAGGAACAAAGTACTGATCTAAGCTACAACATGGATGAACCTTGAAAACATTATGCTAAGTGAGCTGAACCAGACACAAAAAGTCAAATGTTTTAAGATTCTACTTATATGACAGGAAAAAAAAAAATTCATAGAGCTAAAAAAGTAGCTCAGAGGTTACCAGGGGCAGGGGGGAGAGGTGATTAGGGAGTTATCCTCTATGGCACATGTGTCAAACACAAGGCCCGCGGGCCAAATCCGTCCCGCCAGGGTGGGCTTAGAGTTTCTTTTTGGAATAATGAAAAAGTTCTGGCAATGAAGAGTGTTGATGGCTGTACAACACTGTGAATATATTTAATGTCACTGAATTATACACTTAAAAATGGTTAAAATAATAAATTTTATGCCACGTATATCTTGCAACCAAGAAAAAAAGGTCTATTGTCTGCATTGTCTGTCTAAAGATGAACTTCTGTTTAATAGTCATGCTTTAGTCCTTCAGAGAAAGGGGAAAGTATGAATTAGACTCCATGAATGGGTTTCAAAAGAAATGGGAGGTTCCATGAAACATAAAATTGTGCTCAATTTTACACACATACACACACACACACACACACAGCCCTTTTCCAGGAATGGGTCCACAGAATTCATCAGATGTAAGGGATCCAAAAAGGTTCAGAAGATAAAAGCAAGTAGGGAAAGGTGTCTTACTGAAAACCTATCACCAACTTGCCATGCTACCCTGAGTAAGCCACTAATCCTAGCCTCCACACAGGAAAACGGTGGGCAGCATGTTTACTTGGGAGGAAAGAAAGGGGGTGTGTGTGTGGGGGGGATCTAATGGGGACTATTAGTCCATTCCTTTTGGACAAAAGTTCTCAAAGCATGGTCTGGAATCCCTAGGCGACCCTATAAACCTTTCCACAGTCCACAGGTCAAAAGTGTTTTTGTAATCAATTGTTTAAAAAATATATTTTTATTGATTTCAGAGAGGAACGGAAAGGGAGAGATAGAAACATTAATAATGAGAGGGAATCTTTGATTGGCTGCCTCCTGCATGCCCCCTACTGGGGATCGAGCCCACAACCTGGGCATGTGCCCTTCACTGGAATCAAACCTGGGACCCTTTAGTCTGCAGGGCAATGCTCTATCCACTGAGCCAAACCAGCTAGGACTCATAATCAAATTAAGACATTTTTTAATTTTTCTACTCATTCTCTGAGGCAGTTTTCCAGAGGAAATCTGACCAGGGATGACATCATGGCTCCGGTGGATAATGGGTCTTGTTCACGCTCATGTTTTAAATGTTCTGTTTTACTTTCTAATGTGGCAAAATATATACACATATGTATTTATATTTGTATCTCCATCCCTCATCCTATCCTAGTCACTAAAAGGCCCAAATAGGGAAATACATTGTATATGCAGAAAAGCCAGTATGAGACCATTCTGAGGTCCTAAATCTCAAGGTATTTCCTTTTTTTTTTTTTTTTTTTAAATATATTTTTATTGATTTCAGAGAGGAAGGGAGAGGGAGAGGGAGAGATAGAAACATCAATAAGAGAAAAGTCATTGATCTGCTGCCTCCTGCACACCCCCCTCAAGGGAGGATCAAGCCCACAATCCTGGCATATGTCCCTGATCAGAATTGAACTCAGGACCTTTCAATCAGCAGGCTGACCTCTATTCACTGAGCCAAACCAGCTAGGACTCAAGGCATTTCCTCTTAAAAGTGTGTTTTCTCCCCCATTCTATAAAACATATTCACCCTTACCCTTTGTATCTTCATATACAATACAGCATCCTATATAATAAAGAGGTAATATGCAAATCGACCCCCACACCCTCACAAGATGGCTGCCTATGACCAGGGTGGGTAGTTAGGGACGACCAAACAACTGAACAAACAGGCTTCATGGGCAACTAGGCCAGCAGGGGGGCAGTTAGGGGTGATCAGGCAGGCAGGCAGGTGAGTGATTAGGAGCCATCGGTCCAGGATTGTGAGAGGGTGCAGGCTGGGCTGAGGGTCTCTCCTCCCCCCATGCACGAATTTCATGCACCAGGCCTCTAGTTTTATTATATTATGTGGTGGCATCTATTTTGTAGAAATTAATCTTAACTCTCCAATAAAATTATAGGTTCTTTGAGTATAGAACATAAACAGCTATTATGCACCTGCAAGTCATCAAGAGCTTACAATGCTCCAAGTATGGAATGACTTACATATATGCCTCATTTATACTCACAATTCCATGAGGTGCAGATTATTATTCCATTTCACAAATGAGGAAATTAAGAGTCAGGGGGTCTAGCAACTTGCCCCAACTATTAAGTGGTAGAGTGATGACTTACACTCAGGCCTATCTGATTCTAAAGCCTGTAAGTCACTTGACTATGTTCTTTTTCTTAAATCCTCTCTAACACGATCACAATGCAGGACACAGCACTGATGTCTGGTTGACTTGAAGAAGGCCTATTGTTCCTGATACTTACAGCTCTGAAGCATCTCTGTCAGTGTTTCCACGGATGCTTTCTCAGCACTCTCAAACCCGGCCTCCGTCAGCAAGGAGCTCACAACCACTTGCAGGGTTCGCCTCCGGGCCAGATGGTAATTGTCAGCAGGGTTAGTGGACTGTTTACTTCCTGATCTCTGTGAATCAGCAGCCCAGAAAGAGAGAAGATTTTCATCCACTAAACAAGGATGCAATCACATAGTTCACACATCGTCATGGCGAGCAAACATTCATTTGCTAAATACTTACTTACCAGTGCTTAACAAAATGTGATAGCCAAATAAGTAATAATTGAGCAGCCAAGGGGCTCTAAATACGGAGACAGCCTTTTTGCTTCCCTAATGCGTAAAATTCTGATAACACAAATGGCTGTTTCTTACTTTCTATTTTCGCAGATTATCAGGATATACAGCTTGAAGAAACACGTATGAGACCGAATTTATTTCTAGTTCTCAGAAAAAAAATCTCTCTTGTTCCTCCCATCTTCACTAACAAGGGAAATTAAAATAATAACACATAATGCTGAGGAGAGGAGGGCAAAGGATAACAGCACCAGAAAGTAGGAAAGATAATATTTTGAAACAGGAATCCCTCCCAACTTTGGCTAGCCAATAAGAAGGCGGAAACGGCCTCTTCGGACCAATTAGGAGGTGTTCCGGGTTCCCAACCCCGAAACCAGCCAATCGGCACACAGGTCCACCAACTCGGGAGGCCGCCGCCAAGTCCCAGAGAGGGGGGGCACGTACGGCCTGAAAGGCCCTCCTCCATACGGAGCTCATGGCGGGGCTGGATGTCCGGGGATGAGCTTGTGGCCCCGGCTAGGGGAAAGCTGCAGAATGCCCCGACTCTCTCAGCTTCAACCCCGCGCCTCCCGCCCTTACCATTCCGGAGCTGCCAGCCCCCGCAGAGGCCGTCGTGTCGGCCATCTTGCTCTGGCGTAACGTGCGCGAGCGCAGGGCAGGATGGGATTTGTAGTCGCCCGGCGGGGAGGGGCGGGGCGAGGCGGCGCTCGCACCTCTGGGTTTTCCAAAGCCCTGCCGAGGCGGGGGATGGGGGGTTCTGATGACCCTGGGCACGTGACCCACACTGAGCGACGGGTTGCTGTGACCCTCGGAATTGGCCCGGGAAATGCGTCCTCGCTTGCACACCTCTTTCCCCCTGAAATCGTTTCTCATAAAGAGCATCCCCCCTGGAGCGCCCCAAACGTGACTGTTAGCAACACCTGGCTAGGTCCCGCCCAGGATCAGTGCCTCGCTGTCTGCGGGAGGGGCCGAGACCACGTGTTGTTCACCTCTCCAGGTGATGCTTCTGGAGCGGGAGCTTTGGGGAGATGTAAGGTTGTGCTGCGAGTCTGCAGCCCGCCAATGGCCCTCTTTGCAGCCTCGTCCAGGTCTCCCATTGCGGTCTGCTGCCCTCAGCCCGCCGGTGTTCGCCAAGCTGGCAGGGAGGCGCAGAAGGCAGGCGGCTCTGCCCTTGCCCGCCTCGCTCCCAGAGCCTTTGGTGCCTGCGGGTTTTCTATTCACTTGCTCGCCAGCCCCTCCGGATGGGGGTTCTTCTTGCAGGGCCCTCATCGCACCTTAGTCTCCTTTAAAAAAATAAAAAATAAAAATAAAAATAAATATATATATATTATTAATTTTTTACAGCTAGGAAGAGAGAGGGACAGAGTTAGAAACATCAATGAGAGAGAAACATTGATCAGTTGCCTCCTGCACACTCCCCACTGGGGATGTGCCGGCAACCAAGGTACATGCCCTTGACCAGAATCAAACCTGGGACCTTTGCGTCCGCAGGCCCACGCTCTATCCACTGAGCCAAACTGATTGGGGCTATTCTTCTCCTTTTGCGGGAGCCTGGCAGGACGCAGACGCTGGTTTTGAATGCTGATATCGCTAGCTGTGGGACTCCCGGCACATGCCCTACCCTCACTGTACCTCAGTTTCCTCTTTCGTGAAACTGGGGTGTGATTGATAGCGGGGTGGGCGGGGGGGGAGGGGGAAGAGGAGGGAACAAGCGAATACAAACGGGGTCTATCACGGTGCTGGACAGAGGTCAGAGGTCTGACAGAGGTCAGAAAACGCCGCCCGCTGTTGTTGTTTATCCCCAGGGCAGCACGTGACTGAGTGGCTAGTGCCCCGGAGGCAGAAGTCTGGAAACGCACCTTCCCGGCCCCACGCCCCTGAGCCAGGGGGCACCTGCACCCCCAAACCCGGGCACACGGGCGGACGAGGTCTCAGGCCCTAACCTCAGCCGAGCAGAGCACCCAGCCCCCCCCTCCTCCCCACTTCCTGCCCAGCTTCAAACTCGCGATCCGCGGCTGGGCTAGAACTTTGTAAACACGCCGCGCCTGCGGGGGCGGAGACTCCTTTTATTTGGGCTCCGGAGCGAGTTCACGCCCCTCCCCGCTGCCGAGGGCTGCGACCCCGCGCCTCAGCTCCCCGAGACTGAAGCTGGAGTCTGCGGGGGAGCGTGTCTTCGGCCACAACAGATCCTTCGGGGGCTCACCTGCCAAGGAGGTAGGCTTGAAGGCTGGAGGAGCCAAGATAACGGGGGTTCAGCACCCCTCGCCCCCTTTGCTGGGACCTCCAAGCTCAGGCTGGACTGCCCCAGCCTGGGGTGGGAGGTGGGAGGTGGGAGGTGGGTGGGTGGAGGAGGTCACCATGCTCTCATCACCTCCTGAACTCGGCTCACTTTCTCAGTGACGGGCAGAGAAGCCCCCCCAAAAAAACCCTGAGTGCCCTATATGTCCACACTGCACCCTTCCACGCTGATCTGGAAGCCCAGTGGGCTGTTGTTCTTCATACATCAGAGATGGAGGTGGGAGGTGTGGAGGAGGGCAGAGCCAGGGTGGGAGGTGAGGAGGAGGGCGGGCAGCCTTGGGGTTCTCCTGCCGCCTGGCTGAGGGAGGAAGCCACGGGGACAGTACTGGAAGGAAGGACCCCTCAGTGCTCACCCTCCAGCATCTGATGGGGCCACAAACGAGGGCCTTAGCCTCTTCTGTGTCAAGAGGAGTAACTGAAGAGAGCAGTCGCTTTTACTAAGGGAACATTGATGTATTCATTTCCAAACATTGACTGAGCTCCTACTGTGTGTCTGGGGTTGTAGTGGATGCTGAGAGTGCCATGGTGTTATTCCCCTGCAGTTAGTGTGGGTCATGGACAGCGGCGATAAGGCATCAAGCAGGGGGGGCTGGGAAGGCTTCCGAGCGAGGAAGACACTAGAGGTGGTTCTGAGAGAAGACGTGGGCAGTCTCTGGGGGCACTGATTCATTCCACAGGGTTGTACTGAACTCCGATTGTGGTGTTGAACGTTGAGGTAATGGGGACCCAGGTTTAACCCCTTATCTAGGTGCGAAAAAGAGGTGGTTGTAAACGGGATGAATTCAGGGAGAGGGCTGGTCCCCCCAAACCCAGAAATTCTCAGCTACAGTTGGGAGGGTTCACCTGGGGGTTCTGTGACAGTCCACACAATCTTGGCGCATCCATTCCTCACCTCTGAACTCTAGGACTTATCTCCTTGAACAAATCCTTGTTTTATGCCTCTCACCCTGATTCTCTTTGAGTGAAGAGAACCGGCTCTCCCATCACATTTCTGCTCTTTCCATTCCCAGGCTCCTTTGGGAGATGACTAACAATTTACAAATCCATTCAACACTTGTCTGCTGGGGCCATACTCTGTCTGCAAAGGCTAGATGTTGAGGACTTAGTGGTAATCAAGTCAGAGCGTCTACCCTCTTGGACTTTAGAATCAAAAGCATCTCTGAGACTTCCAGCTGGATCTCAGTCGAAGCCCAGTCCTTGAGACCATGGCCTCCAAGGTCCCAAACACCTTCTCTTTCCTGTTTTCCTTCCATCAAGGGTTTGGAATATGAGCTCACACTTACATAGCTCTGTCAGGTACTCTTCTCAATGTTTTAGGTGTAATGTCTTTTAATTCTCCGAGCAGTCCTATGAGGTAAGTACTTGGAGGAGACTCAGGCCAAGAGAAAAGAAGAAATATTCCCAAAGAGGGCCCCAGAAGGAAATGGCAGGGCTGGGATTTAAACCTAGGTCATTTGACTGGGAAGGCCCGGTTCTTAACCAGTAGGCAAACCTGTGTGTGCACTGGAGCCAGGGGCCTCAGAGTGTCCAAAGGGACTGATCTGTTAGCTGAGCATGAGTGCTGATGCCTTTCACAGGAGCCCCGCAGGTGTAGAGTAGGGTTGGTATGGTTGGGGTGACTGCACAGAGCTGGTATCTTGTATCCTGTCCTAATGGCCGTGTGTGTGTGTGTGTGTGTGTGTGTGTGTGTGTTAGAGGAGCAGACCAGGGTTTGACGTAAGAAAGAACTCAATATGGGTGTGATGTGCCGGAATCTGGAAGGTGAGAAACCAAGACACCTCTTTTGTTGGGAATCTTTAAGAAAAGCAGAGAACCGAAACCGGTTTGGTTCAGTGGATAGAGCGTCGGTCTGCGGACTGAAGGGTCCCGGGTTCGATTCCAGTTGTACCTTGGTTGCGGGCACCTCCCCAGTAGGGGGTGTGCAGGAGGCAACTGGTCAATATTTCTCTCTCATCAATGTTTGTAACTCTCTATCCTCTCCCTTTCTCTCTGTATAAAAAATAAGTAAAATATATTAAAAAAGAAAGAATAGTAGAGAGCCCTAGCTGCTTTGGCTCAGTGGATAGAGCTTTGGCCTGCGGACTGAAGGGTCTCAGGTTTGAGTCCAGTCAAAGGCACATGCCCAGGTTGCAGGCTCGATCCCCAGTAGGGGGCGTGCAGGAGGCAGCCTATCGATGATTCTCTCATTGATGTTTCTATAATAGCTCTCTCCCCCTCTCCCTTCCTCTCTGAAATCAATAAAAGCATATTAAAAAAAGAATAGCAGTGAACCTCACATTCTAGACTGCAAGGAGCAGTCTATCGCCGCAAGGAGCAGCCCTTCTTGGTAGCTGACTAAGGCAGCCGGCCACGGAGTAGAAACAGTCTTAAGATGCTCACCTCCTCCCCACAGCTGCTGCATCCCAGAGCTGCCTTGGTGGCGCTGACCCCATACTTCTAGGCAGGCTGGGGCAGTGGCCGTGATAAAAGCCAGGCCGCAGGACAGAGGTCCCGTGGATTCCAGCCATTTTCCCGTTACCTTTCTGAGACTCTAGGTCTCTCACAGGAGGCCCTCTGCACAGAACTGGGGAAGCCCAGGGGCTGTCTCCTCCGCCTGCAGTCAGTCCACCCCACCATGTGTCTTTGAGAGCGAGGTGTGTGTTGGGGGGTGGACACAGGTAAGGAGAACGGGGACATTCAGAGCTGTGCAGGCCTCCGGGCTGCTCCTCTGCCACCCCTACCCCCCTTCCTCCTCCTCCTCCTCCTCCTCCTCCTCCTCCTCCTCCTCCTCCTCCTCGGTGGGTGGGTGCGGGGCACTTTCGGGCGCCCCCGCCCCTGCGCCCGGCACGCTTCTGACTCTGGGGAGAGAACAGGTTGTGCTCAGAGAAACCACAAGAGGAAGCTTAGGGAGGGCTAGGGTGGGGAAAGTTCTGGGGCCCCTGCCAAGTTTCCCTTTCGGTGCCCAGCGGGTAGATGTGTTTATTTTGGTGTGTCGCTCTTGCCCTCAAAGACATTTAACCCTCAGAGTTTAAAGAGCTGTCGGGGCCTGCCCCATGTCAGCGGGAGGGCGTGGCCAGAGGCAGGCTGGCATCAGAAGGAGGTAACCTTTCCAGGCCCTTCACCCGGGTCCCAGGCTGCTGGGGAGAGGCTGCCTGACTCCAGAAAGTCTCCTTCTCACCTTCTGCCCTTTCACCTTCCTCTTCCCCAGAGCACTCCCTGCAGCCCTGCATTCCTCAGAGGACTGTGGTTCTAAGGACACTTAGGAAGGGGGGGGGGGGCGGCGCGTGATGGCGCCAGAAGATTTTTCCTAAATCTTTTGCCTGCGTCATCTCATTTACCGCTCACCGCACCTTCAGGTCATAAATACCCCAACCCCAGTGTACAGACAAGGAAGCAGGCTCCGAAAAGCTAAGAAACTTGCCCGAGGGCCCCGCAGCGAGTACTGGCAGAGGTCAGATGTGAACTCTGGCCTCCGATGTCAGAGCCTGCGCTCTTGATGTCTCCGTTGAAGCCCCAAACAGAGCACCCGCTTCCCTGACATATCCCTCCCTGAACAGCAGGGACGCTGCAACCCAAGGGTGTGTTTAAAAATGATGCTGCCAGCGTGGTGAGAGGATGGCGTGGGCACAGAATTGGAAGACACTCCGTGGGAGTTAGTGTATCAATGAAGAATAACCGCACGAAAAAAGCAGGCATTGTGGGTGAAAGGTCGAA